CCTTCTATGGAACATTGTTGTGGATGAGCTCATCGCACAACTTAATGACCAAAGATTCCTCACAATAGGCTATGCAGACGATCTTACCATTCTCATCAGCGGTCCTTTTGAGAGCATTACATGCGATCAAATGAGACTTGCACTGAAGATCGTGGAACAATGGTGCGCAGCACACAACCTGACAGTGAACCCATCCAAAACAGAGATGATCATGTTCACAAACAAACGCAGCCTAGGAAATCTCAGACTTCCCAAGCTATTTGGAACACAACTTACTCTTACCAAAGAGGTCAAATACCTAGGAGTAATACTGGACAGTAAACTCCTGTGGAATAAGCACCTCGATGAAAAACTGAATAAAGCCTGCATTATTTTCTGCCAATGCAAGCGGCTACTCGGCAAAAGCTGGGGACTATTACCCAAAATTACTTTATGGCTATACAGGACAGTCATAAGACCAATAATCACTTACGGTGCTGTTGTCTGGTGGCAGAGAACAGAGCTAAGCACCGTCATAAACAAACTGCAGCAATTCCAGCGACTCCCATGCTCCGCGGTCACTGGCTGTATGCGCACAACGCCTACTGCCGCACTGGAGGTGGCTCTTGGTCTGCCACCCCTGGATCTATTCATACAACAGGAGGCCGCCATGGCGATCATTAGACTCAAACACCTGGGTCTATGGCACAAAAGGGAGGGATCGTACTCTAAATTATGGGATCAATTGGTGGAATACGAACCACTGATAGCAGCTCCATGCGATAGAATCCCAAAACACCATATCTTCACAAGAAGATACTACATCCAGATACATGGAAATGACCGAGATCAATCCGGCATTAACGAAGTCCGAATTTACACGGACGGTTCCAAGACTAGGTCAGGAACTGGAGCCGGAGTTTTCTCGCAAGACCTAAATATAAACATATCACTAGCGTTAGGCCAACACAGCTCCATATTTCAATGTGAATGTGTGGCAATAACTTACGCCGCCACAACGGCCATGTCAAGGGGTATCAAGGACTACAACATCCGAATAATATCCGACAGCATGGCCGTCTTAAAGGCAATGCCTTTAAGACGGCAACACAATGACCTCTGGTGTTGTCCTCGAATGCCACCAAGCACTGGAACAGCTCGCTATATTCAATGGGGTACTCCTCCAATGGATTAAAGGGCACAGTAACTCACACGTAGTCCTGGAATGCGAGGGAGTGGCCACACAACGGGCAAATATCATTCCTGATATAAAGTCGCTCCTAGAAGCCTGTGAACGCCCCAGGAGTCTTCTGCGCTTCTGTAAGGAGCTTGGCTGGCTCACCTAGTCAACCAATCCCCGACGCATAAAGGACCACTCTGAGTCTAAATGCGGAAACCGAGGCCCACAACCAATACCAATACCAATACCTTGTATTTCACCGGAAGAAAAGCTTCTTGTGACCTTGAGGTAAGTGAAGATGAAAAGACGCATTTTCCAATTTAATACTTTTATTACTTTAATAAATCAGTCAGTCACAAGTCACATTCTGATTACTGAATCTGTCTCAGTCTTTTCAGTTTGTAGGTAGGTACTTATATCTAATTATAATTAGGTATTTTATTATCTTATTTAGTAATGTTTAGTAATTTAGTAATCACAGTTATTTTTCTAATCACAGGATCAATCGCATATTTATATCTATCTCAAACTAATTTACACGATCACAGCTTTCTATCTTCCGTACAATAAACACACTATGGTTTTAAAATAGTGATAAAATCTCCGATTTTGATTGTAATACTGCATTGCTTCATAGCGACTAGAATTATGTGCATATGATGAAGAATTCGTATAATAACCCTGTTTTTGATTATTAGCATAGGATATTTCAGTGTCACCTGGTTCTTTATAATTGTACATTTCATCCTGAGCTTGTGATATGCATTTAATTATATTTATTTTCACGATTGACTTCAACCGATCGGGTACTTTCTTGAAATCAGGTACCAACGAGAGCATAAACTGTCGGTCAGGATCGTCTTCGTTTACTTTTTTGCTCATTGAAGATTTCAGGGCATCGATTCATTCTCGAGTCATTTCTTCAGGAGGATCAGATTTCCTCTTAATACTCGTATTTTTTTGCCTTCGGCACTCCTTCATGAAGGCGTCTCGAAGGTTTTTCCACTTCATTTGTAGCGAGCGCCCTGTAATTTAATAAAATATGTTTATAGAGATGATATAGATATCTGGATCGGGGTGTTCCTTTACCAACCTGCATTACAATTATCGACTTGATGTATCAACCATACGAAATATTGTGGAAAAAGTATGTGTTGCATTCTGGGATATCATGAAAATTGAGTGTTTTCCCGAACCTACAACAGAAATGTGGTTAAATATAGCTGAAGGATTTGAATCAAGAGCCAACTTTCCTCATGTTTTAGGTGCCTTAGACGGTAAACATGTGCGTGTTCTCAAACCATCTCTAAGTGGATCGCTGTACTACAATTACAAGCATTATTTTTTAAATCTTGTTTCTGGCTATACTCGTATGTGATTCTAATTATAAATTTCTATAAATTGACATCGGTACCTATGGGAAATGTAGTGATTCTACAGTTTTCCGTGATTCTAATTTTTATCAAAAACTTCAAGATGGATCTCTTAACATACCAAACTCCTCTGCAATTAATGGTATCACCAATTCCGTGCCATATTTTTTTATCGCAGATGAAGCTTTCAATATTAACAATGTTCTACGACCCTATGCAGGACACCACTTAAATTACACTAAACGAGTTTTTAATTATCGCTTGAGCAGGGCACGTAGGTATATTGCGTGTGCGTTCGGTATTTTAACACATAAACGCACAACACGCTTAACGTCAATATCTGCAATATAAGGGGCCTTCACTCCAACCTTAACGCTGTCTACCACCACCACGAGACAGTAAAACCAGCCTTGCTCTTTCTAATCGAGACTCAGATTTCATCTCCATCGGACACATCCTACCTCTTCTACCCTGGCTATCACCCGGAACACTCGTTTGTTGCTAGAGCTGGAGTGTGCGTGTACGATAGAGGTGATATCAGTTCGCGCCGCCTCAGCAATCCTTAAGGGCGGGACCTTTCCATCTTGTGGCTCCGTGTAGGCAGCGACGACCATCCCCGCGTCTACGCATGCCTCTACAGGTCCCATAGCGGTGACTCCGAAACTGACCAACTGATGGACCACGTTCAAATAGCTACAGATTCCGTGCTGCAGCAGATTCCATCCGAGGAGATCGTGATTAACGTGATTAACGATCACAAAGCCGAAAGGCTTGGCTCACGCCAGACCGATCACACGGTGAGATCTGTTCACGATTTCGCCCTGACCTATAGCTTGTTACAACTGGTATCAACGCCCACGCGAGTTCCAGACGTGGAAAGTCATGAGCCGTCACTGTTGGACCTTCTGCAGACCTGCCATGCGGATGGTTACAAAATCGCCGTTGAAGCCACACTCGGCTCCTCGGATCACTGTCTAATCCACAGTACAGTGCCACTCACGTGCTTGCCGCGGCCGTGAGTTGCAGGCTGCCTCTGTGTATGGCACTATAGGTCAGCGGACTGGGATGGGATGGAGGTCTGTTTCTTGCCGGATGATCCAACCGTCGTTGCCGATTCTGTCACTGATGTAGTACTTAAGGCCATGGAACTATTCGTTCTTTCTACATTAATTCCCATCGGTGGCAGATCCAAGCCCTGTTTCAACAGATCCTGCAAAACGGCGTCCCGCCGAAAGCGGGAATTCTACCAAGCATGGGCAAATGCAGCGACGGCAGGTGATGAAAATACCAGCACACTAAAAAAACAATATAACTTTGCCTCCGGGTCCCTTAAACGAGGCATTGCTAGGGCGAAATCGGAGCACATCAGCCGAATCAGTGAGAGACTTCCTTCTGGAACTCGTGCATTATGGTCTGTTGCGAAGGCTGTCCAGGGGAATTTCTGTAGCCAATCCTTGATGATGCCAAGGTTTGGGTGACGGGGGAAACGTACCGCCGTCCATACCGCGGTGCCAGGGCTTTTTGCCGAATATCCGGTTCACACAAAAATCATTGCGTAAAGCACTCTTTTCTCTCGACATTCATTAGTCGCGTGGGCCCAATGGAATCTCTCCTATTGTGTTGAAGACGTGTGCTCCGGAGTTGGCACCAGTTTTAACGCGCCTTTTTCGTCTCTCCTACTCCCGTTTGCGCACCCGATGCCTAAAAAAGGTGTCGGTTCTGTCCCGTCCATCTACAGATCTATAGCCATAACTCCTTTTTTCCCTAAGATTATGGAATCCATAATCCACAACAAATGACAAATGCTATTCCCTCAACTTTAACAGATTTTAATTTAAATATATTTTTCACTGAATTAAAGGAAGAAGAAGAAGAACAGAATTGGGAATTGACATTTTAAACTGCCGAAGGCAATCCTATGACAACATTTTATTGATGCAAGTAGGTGACATGCAATCTATCCTCATACATAAATATAAATATATACGTATCTTTGAAACCTCGGAATATATTACAAACCAGCAGCTATTACCTAAACTAAACTAAACGACCCACGTGCATGTACCATGTGCACATTAATAACGAAATGTCTCAGCACCAAATGGTAGAAATAGGGTAGGTACTTAGCATTTTATATTATTTAAGCTGACAAATTAATTATGCTTTTGTGAAATAATTTGATAATAATTTTTGACTTGTACCTGAACTTGCAAATAATACCAGCCTACTTAAGCTTTTTGCCCGTAGTAGAAATGATAATATTAGTATGGTAACTTTTACATATGACGTTTTTGTGTTGTAGGTAAATTGTTGCAAATGGAAAATGGCGTTTGTGTTGTAGTGAAGAGCTGTAAACATACGTATTACCTTATGCTTTCACGGAAGTAATTTTTGTGAATTTTTAGTAGCTTTGTATTTTAATATTAATTAGTGATAAATATAACGTGGACTAATGAGTTTATTGACCGATGTCTGCCGTGGCTCCCACTATCCCCGGTTGGTGATAACTTTGTTGCAGTTTTTCATATAGACACGCATAACAAAATTGATATTAGATGAATTAAAGGTTAACATAACATAGTTAATAGTGGTGTATTAAATGTATTTGAAAGAAATTAGTTTATAAGCATGAACCAAATAGTAATGTTATCGACCTATTTTCAATCCATTTGACATTGCACCGCGTGACGCGTTGTTAGTAACTTAAAGTTAGAAATAAAAATTAATTCATTAAAATTTGGAATGCTGTATGTAATGGTAAACTGTGAACAAAAATTATCCATCATTTTATAAAGCACCTGTGATACAAATTTAGTGACTACTGGTACATTAAATTTAATGCATAGCACCTACCTACTTTACTGTGAACACTGCTGACTAAGTTTTATTCAGTAAAAGCTTAAAATTGCTGATGTAGTTTTTTTTTGTAAAACCATTAATTATTCAGATTGCATTTATCTAAAAAAATACTAAAATGATTTACTTTTACCTTGATTTTTTATAAGGGTGACCTTGATTTTGGAAATAAATTTAAGTTGTCTGATTAAAATTAAATGTTTGTTAACACTTCACAGCTTTTTAGTATAACTTAATGTTAAACAGAATTGTAAACATATTTCCTCAAGCTCTCATAAATCATATCATACACACAAATGCCGTTTTTCTGACATTGATCCTTACTCATAGCAGATAATTATTAATTCAGTATCTAACCATAATATTTAGTTGTGTTAAAATACAAATTATTTTTATAGGGGCTGACCCAGCAAAGGATATACAAAAACGCCGTGCTGGCAGTGTTGGGTGAGTTTCTAGAAATTCCAATACACAATTATTGAATATAAATCCTTCGGATGTAAAATCTAATTTAGGATTTCATGGTAGTGTAGTCTTTTAGTTTGGTTGTAATTTGTCTACTCACAAAAAGTTTACAGAAGAGAAATACTTATCTAAGGTGCTTTATAATATGACAACATTTATGTTTAAGAATTTTTGTGAATCACGAAGATCACTAGTCGAATTTTAATATGCCTTAACAGGTCAGATGAAGACGACGCAAGTGGTGGTAAATACACAAGGATGGAGGAGGACAATATTCAAGATAAAGAAAGATTTGCAAGGTACACATAGTTGTTTTTGACAGTGAATTTAACTGAAAATGATATTGAAATCTGTACATTGTTAGATGTGTAGTCAGTGTTCAGTTCAGTTTAGTTAAGTTAGGGGTAAAATTTCCAAAAATCCTTTCGTAGTGGGTGCTTGCAATATAAAAAGCATCAGCTGCCATTTCAAGTGTGTAGCCATTGCAGTTTAGGCTTGTGTGTTGTTGAATCTGTCAGTCAAGTAATTTTATATGTATGGATACATTAATGGCACAAATGCAGCATCCTAAAACATAAGCTACTCTCTATTCCGATAGGAAGAGAGTGTATCTTATGTGAACTTAAATGGTATAACCATTCTCCTAAAAAAATTAGCTAATAGTTCCTATTTAGGCTATATAAATTTTAAAGGGAGTATAATGAATGTCTTTAAATGGAATAAAGCATTTGGCAAAGCTTGTGTTAACCTTGGGCATTGGTAATTTAACACCTACAGAAATAATTTCATTTTATGAAATATACATTATAATAATTATTCATACTGCACGCACAAAATATTTGTACTGATCTGTACATACATCTATTAATGCATTTTTGAACAAAACATACACTTACCTGTGGTATGATATTTTTTTATCTTTATTTAACTTTTTGTAGTAATAATTTTTTACGTACTACGTACGCACGGACTAATTATTGAAAAAACAATTGTATTAATTTTTTTGAAATAATTAGTACATGCACTCGCTAGCAGTGTTTCTAATTATGACCCTCGCGTTTTGTGCGTTGGTGGCGTATCCACCTCTTGTTTGTATACAATATCATGGTATAGAAGTATAAAAACATATACAGATTTCTACATACAATGATTATTATGTTGCTCCTAAACACATTTTAACAAACACGAATGCACTTATTTTTTAGTTGGCACAAAACAATTTTCAATGAAGGGAATGTATAGAAACCTGCACACCAAGGCCCGATGATTTTCCCATAACCGCGACACTCATTTTAGGTTATTGTGTTATGATTGAAAACGTGTCTTATCACGCGATAGGTTCACGTTTTCTTTAAAACCTCATATTAATAAGTTATGAATATTGTTGATAAGTTATTGATGTTATTTCTGATAGCACTTTTAAGTATTCGCTTTAAGATTTTAATGTAAATATAAACTGTCCTTTTTAATCCATTGTACAATATTAAAAATCCGAAGGAGATACAACAAATGTCTCTTAAACGCGTTATATTCGGCAAAAACTAATTGTATTATAATTATATAATACGACAAGTTTATGCCATGCAAAATTGAAAAAAAAGTACTTTTTTCAATTTTGACTTCGACACGTAAATTGGGTATGAAATAAATGAATATGTTTGTCTTTTTTGGGTTAAACTGGACGAGATTTAGTCGGCCCCAATCTGAAACCACCGCTAAGGAAGTTTCAATTTCAGACACAAGTTTTCCCGAGAAATGTTGGGGCGGCCGGTATAAAGAGCATCTCCTGTGCTATCATCTGCATAGCAATGGATGCCACTTGTTTGCAACATGTCATTGATATGCAGAAGAAACAGTGTGGGTGATAGCAAACAGCCTTGTGGGACACCAGCATTTACGAATTTCAAGTCGGAGCATGCACCGTCGTCAACGACCTTTATGCTTCTTTCCGCAAGGAAGCTGGTTACCCAATTACACAATTTCTCGGGAAGCCCAAAGGAAGGGAGCTTCGAGAGAAGCGCCTTATACCAGACCCGATCAAAGGCCTTCGCTATGTCCAAACTAAACCGCACAAGCCTCTCCTTTGGTCACGATCATCTGTGCCCACCGGTGTGTTAGAAAGACAAGAGGATCACCAGCTGAGCGACCCCGGCGAAAACCATATTGTCGGTCATTGAGTAGCTGGTGATCATCCAAGTACCGGAGGAGCTGGCTGTTGATTATGGATTCCATAATCTTAGAGAACAAAGGAGTTATGTCTATAGGCCTGTAGTTGGACGGGTCAGGGCAGACACCTTTTTTAGGGATCGCGTGCACAAACGCTACCTTCCAGGAGTTCGGGACGATGCCTTGGGAGTAGGAGAGACGAAAAGGCGCCTTAAAACCGGTGCCAACTCCGGAGTACACGTCTTCAACACGATAGGAGAAATTCCATCGGGCCATCACGACTTATGAATGTCGAGGGAAAAGAGTGCTTTACGCACTGATTTTTGTGTGAACCGGATAGCCGGCATATAGCTCTGGCACCGCGGTATGGTCGGCGGTACGTTTCCCCCGTCATCCAAAGTCGAGTTGGATGCAAAGAATTTGCCTAGGAGATCAGCTTTCTCCTTGGCATCATAGGCCAACGAATTATCTCCTATCTGCAGGGGTGGAAAGGATTGGCTACAGAAATTCCCCTGGACAGCCTTGGCACGAGACCAGAATGCACGAGTTCCAGAAGGAAGTCTCACTAGTCTCTCACCGACCCGGCTGATGTGCTCCGATTTCGCCCTAGTATTGTCTCTTTTAAGGGACCTGGAAGCAAAGTTATACTGTTTTTTTAGCGTGCTGGTATTTACATCGCCTGCCATCGCTGCATTTGCCCATGCTTGGTAGCATTCCCGCTTTCGGCGGGACGCCGTTTTGCAGGATCTGTCGAACCAGGGCTCGGATCTGCCACCGATGGGAATTAATGAAGGAAGGAACAAATAGTTCCATGCCCTGAAGTACTACATCAGTGACAGAATCGGCAACGACGGTGGGATCATCCGGCAAGAAACAGATCTCTATGGGTAGGACGCAAAGAAGGAACGCATCCCATCCCAGTCCGCTGACCTATAGTGCCACACACGGCGGCAGCCTGCAACTCGCGGCCGCGTCGAGCACGTGAGTGGCACTATACTGCGGATTAGACGATGATCCGAGGAGCCAAGTGGGGCTTCAACGCCGATTTTGTAACCGTCCGGATCAGAGGTCAGCAGAAGGTCCAACAGTGAAGGCTCATGACTTTCCACATCCGGAACTCGCGTGAGCTTTGAAACCAGTTGTGACAAGCCATAGGTCAGGGCAAAATCGTGAACAGATCTCGCCGCGTGATCGGTCTTGCGTGAGCCAAGCCATTCGGCGTTGTGAGCGTTAAAGTCGCCAAGTATCACGATCTCCGCGGATGGGATCTGCTGCAGCACGGAATCTGTAGCTATTTAGACGTGGTCCATCAGTCGGTCAGTTCCGGTGTCACCGCTATGGGACCTGTAGAGGCATGCGTAGACGCGGGGATGGTCGTCGCTGTCTACACGGAGCCACAAGATGGAAAGGTCCCGTCCTTCAAGATTGCTGAGGCGGCGCGAACTGATATCACCTCTAACGTACACGCACACTCCAGCCCTAGCAACAAAGGAGTGTTCCAGATGATAGCCAGGGTAGGAGAGGTAGGATGTGTCCGATGGAGATGATATCTGCGTCTCGGTTAGAAAGAGCAAGGCCGGCTTCACTGACTTAAGGTGGTGGTGGACAGCGTTGAGGTTGGAGTGAAGGCCCCTTATGTTGCAGAAATTCACGTCAAGCGTGGCGAGGGGTGGCCTGATGTGCCTGCTCCCGCTGCGGGCAGATATCCCGTCGGGCGCTGTTACGCCCCCCCCAGACTACGCGGGGCAGCCCAGACGCATGGTGTTCTGAGCATGGACGCCCAGAGTCAGATTCTCCAACTGGTACCCCCCTGGGGTAGATCATCTTTCAACGGCGCTATCATGAGCGGGGATATAGGGGGGGTTGGGCTCCGGAAACCTCACTCACTCGGTGAAATGCAACAGAGAAATTGCTTTACAACCGGTTTTCTGTGAGGCCGTGGTATCGCACCGGTCGAGCCGGCCCATTTTTGCTGAAGCATGGCCTCCCACTTACATACTTTCGCATTTATAATATTATTATGGATATCCCTAAAACGAAGGAGTAGTACGGTAGGTAATAGTAAAATGAAGTTAATGATTTTAGGGTTCCGTACTTCTAAAGGAGAAAACGGAACCCTTATAAGATCACTGTGTTGTCTGTCTGTCAAGACCTTTATCTCGGGAAAACGGGAACTCAGGTCTACATACCCTTGAAGCTGTGAAAAATCAAACTTCTAAGTTAATGTAAAAAAGATACGGCCGTTTATGCTGCAAAAAATACATATTTCTGCACTCTTAAGGGAATCAAAATTCATAGGGCTACTTCCCGTTGATCTAAAACTATGAACTTTAGCAAGTAAAATCGTCTCGTAATCAATATAGTCTTTATTTAAAGTACGTAATCAATAATCGAGTTACAATTTCACTTATAAAACACAATAATATAAGTAATTATAGGTTTTGGAAATATCTGCGGGACTTGATTCCTAAACTATTTTTAATATGTACCTACAAATTTGTACGGAACAAGTAAGGTGGGCGAGTCCGACTCGAGCTTGGCAGGATTTTTTAATTATAAATGTAGTGTATCTTAAGTAAAATAGGATGAATAGCAATAATATGATATTTTAAAATCTTTTAAACTGAATTGGTTTGCATACTATCATTGCTGATGACTAATTAGTTTTAACTATTTATTTTTATCATATTGAGACGTTTTTTTTAAGTCTTCCAAAGTTACCCAATTTTCTATACATTCTGTAGGTACTTGAATTATTGTCAGCGATACTGGGGTCAATGGGAAAAGTAAAGTGAATTAATATTTACGTAGTTATGACTTATGATGTATAGAAACCTCTTTTTACTTGTATTATAGCTGTTTCACCTGCGTTTATGGTGATTCCTTCGCTTCCAAGGAACATAACGTTACCACCTTCAACGTATTATTCAAATTAAACTAATAATTTTTCTATATAAAAATGTAAATCTTTACAAAAAAAAATTAAGTTGGTTTGTGTACGCTTCAAATATATAAAAAGTTCTGCATCGATTAAGTTCAAATTTTTCATTTTTTTTTATTTTTCGCGTTAGTTTTGTCCCTTATTTCTCTTCAATGCATCAACAGTGTGCCACTGCGAAGCATGACAGGGTAAAGCTAGTAACCTATAAATCCATACTATCATCATCATCAACCTATCGCACACCACCTCGATCGATTTTCGGCTTCTCGTATCCAGCTCCTGCCAGCCATCCCACTAAACAAAAACTATATATACTATAATATTATGAATGCGAAAGTGTGGCTGTCAGTTTTATCCCAGAAATCTCCATTTAGGCTGGTGAAAAGAGGGGGGTGTGGTAGTTAATATGGAAAATCAATAAACGCTTAACCGATTTTAATTAAATTTGGCATGAAGAGACTGATTCTTGAGGAAAGACATAGGCTACTTTTTACCGCGATAACCGACATACACGCGGACGGAGCCGCGGGCAAAAGCTAGTTCAATATAAAGACAATATCCATAACGCTTGTCCGTGGCAAATGTTGTTGTTTTTGAAATTGAAGAAACTTTTTGATTACAACACTAAAACTAGTATTAAGTATCTGTTCTTACTGTCGGAATATAACTATGTTTTTGTCCTTTCTAAACAGTATAATATCTTTTTCTTCTGGGCCGCTTCTAACAAATACTGAAGTTCTGACAAGGCATGATACCCACGCTGTCGAGATCATCGCGTCGCCTCCTTCTGGTTGGACCTCAGCGGTGCAATTACGAATGAGAAACGTAGAAATTTAGCAAGCATGGACATAAACAACTATTACTGCTTGGTTCCCCTAAATTGCAGCCTGTACTTGTATGATACTTTGGACATACTAGTCCAAACTATCATTAGGAACTAAATCCATAGTTAATTTAATAATAATTTTGAATAATCAAGTTAATTCAAATATTTGTAATGTTACGTAACGAACCTGCATAATAAAAAAATATTATTATATCTATCGTTAGAAGAGCGTAAAAAATTATGGCCTAACCCGTATAGGTAACTGAGAGTAGGCTATATGGTTGATATTATCGTTAGGTTTAATATTACTTTTATTCTCTTTCAGTCGCGAAAACCATTGTGAGATTGAACGTCGCAGAAGAAACAAGATGACGGCATACATTACGGAACTATCTGATATGGTTCCGACATGTTCTGCGCTCGCGCGGAAACCCGACAAACTCACCATACTGCGTATGGCAGTAGCGCACATGAAAGCATTGAGGGGTAATTACACGTACACATTTTATATAAGTACAAAATACTTAAGTCACATCAGATAAAACTAATTACATCTTTTAATATCAAAATAACATAACTTAAAATATGTAAATTTTATTTATAAATAATGTTAACACATTATACAAAAATGTTTTATAGGCACTGGCAACACATCTACAGATGGTACTTATAAACCATCTTTCTTAACTGATCAAGAACTAAAGCATTTGATTCTTGAAGCTGCAGATGGGTTTTTGTTTGTTGTGAGTTGCGACACAGGTCGTATTATTTATGTAAGCGACAGCATAGCTCCTGTTCTTAACTACTCTCAGGTAATGTTTCATATTTTTAGTACATAATAGTGCTAAGTTTATTGTTCGAAATCTCTCTAATCTAAACTAAAAATCACTAAAAATTAGTTAAGGTTACCTATTCTGAAAACGTAGTATTTGACAGCACTAGAAACATTTTTAGTTTAGTTTAGAGAGTTTTCGAACAACAGAATTAGTACCATTGTTTTTTAAATAAAATATATTGAAAACATTGTTAGTGTTACAAGCCTTCCACAATTCTATCGAAATAAAAACAGATATTTTGTTTACTTAGAAAAGTATAATTTTTGTGCTAATCTTTTCTTTACATTTGTGTCATAATTGTGTCCGTATCCCTGTCCCATGACATTCTATAGCCTATCATGAATTCTATAGCCACTCACTTTTGTACGATCACAATCGAGAAATTTTCTGCAACGAGATACTTAAATATTATCACTTTAAAATTTCTCTTTACTCCAAAAACCCACAAAGCTATGTGTCTAAAAAGTAATTGTCATCGGGTGATTGATACATCTCTTACGAATAACATGTCCATAACTGCCAAAACGTATTCTATTATTTTAGGGCGAATGGTATTCATCATGTTTATATGACCAAGTGCATCCAGATGATCTTGAAAAAGTTAGGGAACAATTAAGTACGCAAGAACCCCAGAATACGGGACGTATATTGGATCTAAAGACTGGTACTGTAAAAAAAGAAGGTCATCAATGTAAGTATTTCATTTCATTTATTCTGTATTGTGCACATTAATATTACATGAGTGACAAGGAAATTATATGTACAAAGCCAAACTTAACCCAAACCTAAGTTTTTTTGCAGCTAACCCTTAGAGTGAATAGAGGGTGTGAGGGCAAAGTCACGATATGTACTTATTAATAAGTAGAAGAAAAAGTATATAATTGTAAAAATGAATTACCACATGCATTTGAATATATATAAATATATATATTTATTATATTTAAATGCATATGTGTACACATATTAAGGGCCTGATTATTAAATATATATGAGGGGTATAGAATCAAATCCAGCTAAATCCATAGCCTGGTAGGTATAGAACTATGAACGCTATTTTATTCCTTATCCAAATTTGTACATGTTAGGTAAACCGTTTGGTATTAAACGCAGCTATTTTTTAAAGAAAAACCACTTCAAACTCACTCGTTAGAATCAAAGTCAGCTTTATCCAGTATTGTAAGTAACAAATGCAGCTAAGTCCAATTTTTAATATGGCATGTGTCATACAAAGGCGTGCGTCCGTGTCTGCAGTTTTAATTAAAATTTTAAACCCTTTTGGCCAATTTTCAATAAAAAAAGATAATATTTAGTGCCATGGAAGTGTCAGTAACCGAAGCAGCACAAGGAAGTGTTCTAAAACGTAAGAAACAGCCTGCAAATGGGAAAGTAAACAAGGCAAAAATTGATAGGTAAGTATAGAGTAGTGATGTACTCACTCTCAATCAGTTTCGATAAAACTGTTGCATTGCAGGTACACATTTCGTCTTTCAACAGTTTTTATTACTTTTACTTATCGCATTGTCTGTAATCAAATCTTACATGTTAAATTTGATCGACATTCCAGTTTAAAGTTGAGTTGAAATGCACTGATGGCGTTTAGCGGTCGCCCCGCCGCTTCCTACTACGCTGAGTAATGTGGGTAATACGCTAAGGATTTAGATTTGATTTTAGTATCTCAACTACGTACGATGAATAATTTTCTACTTTCTTAATCAATAATAAGGCCAAAAACATATGTCTATCACTTTGGCACATTCATAATCGTAACTTGTCATACGTTTCAAACTTTAAATTTTATAGTTTCCTTATTAGCTAACGAACGTACTATAATCTAAAATATTAATTTTGCTTTGTATTTTCGAAATTCTGATGCATATCTGCTCTAATAATTCGATACCCAGAATCATCACGATACACTTCACTAGCAATAGAATTCTTGTTGGAATCAAAATCAGCTATATCCATACTAGTCAGAATCAGAGCTAAATCCAGGACTTGGTATCAAAAACAGCTATGTCTAGCACAATTATTTAAATTAAACGGTTACTTTTTCTGCTAATTATGATTGTGTTGAAAAACCTATAAAATCACTGCAAGCGCCTCCTGCCAAATAAATTATATCTACAGAGTTACCAAGTAAAAATTAAAAAAAAACGTTTTTTGGTATTTGTGTAAAAAAAGTGTGAATGGATTTAGCTGCCTTTGATTGTATACCCCTCATATATTCCCAGTAAATTAAATATAAGTTATAACATTTTAGTGTGATAGAATTTTCAAATTACAATCAGATTAAAGAAATTATGTTCATAATGATAGGTGAGAATTGGCCTTCTGTACTCATACCTACCAAATATACAAAAAAAAAACAGACGTGTCGAACACAGTGACACGAGATATTTATTAATTACATGAATCTTCAACAAGAACATCACATAGCTTTCATGATAAGGATCAAATACGTGTATACATATTCTTATTAAATAAAAATATTATTGATTTTATAATACTGATTGATACTTTGTTGACCTTCTAAATTTTGTTTATTAATTAGGTTTAGTAGGTTCTTATGAGTAACACACTAATTATTAACCTTTCTTTAATATTTTTCATAATTTACAAATTGTCATTGGCTTACAGCATCCATGCGTCAAGTGATGGGCTCCCGACGTGGTTTCATATGTCGTATGCGCGTGGGAGGCTCAGCTGAAGGAGCACATCTCGGCAGATTGCGCGCACGAAACTCCCTAGGACCCTCACACGATGGTCACAATTACGCAGTCGTTCATTGTACTGGATATATAAAAAATTGGCCTCCTACAGGTAACTCACGTGAAGTTAAAAGAATAACTTTAGTGGGATGATCATTACTTATCTATACTAAAATTATAAAGCTGAAGAGTTTGTTTGTTTGTTTGTTTGTTTGAACGCGCTAATCTCAGGAACTACTGGTCCGATTTGAAAAATTCTTTCAGTGTTAGATAGCCCATTTATCGAGGAAGGTTATAGGCTATATATCATCACGCTAAGACCAATAGGAGCGGAGCACCAATGAAGAATGTTTCGAAAACTGACAAAATTTATTGCTATTGAGAGACGCAGACGAAGTTGCGCGTATCAGCTAGTGAATAATATCAGTGATTTAAATAACCCTCGGTTTTGTTTAGACTGTGTTTTACTTTTTTGTAACTTCATTTCGTTTTTTCTATTATCTTGGCTGCATATATTTATACGAAATGTTATTCCTTATACTTAAAAAAAAACACTTAAATAAAACGCAACATGATAACTTGTAGGTACCTATTAATACAAATACAACTAAGATTATAATTACAATGTAAGTAGAGGGAAAGCACTAAGTTAAAATCATGCAACTTAAACCCCAGTCCGTTTATAGTAATTTAATCATTATTATTGTATTTATTGAGAACAATTACGGTGTATTAAATAAGACTTTTCGGTCAGCATTTTTAGTATGAATTTCAACAAATCTTTAAGGAAAAATGTACGCTGAAATACCACAGTGCCATATGCAAGATAAAATCTCCATAGGCGGAACTCCTTTCGTTACAGTAGTTTAAAAGTTTTTCGACTAGAAGTAAACAAATTGTCCTCTTTATAATACTAGTACACCTGTAATATTATAGGAAATGCCAACACATTGTCTGCCAACATAATCTTTAATTGTGATAAACTAGGTCAAAAGAACAGTCCATCCAATGGCTGATTATTATTTAAACCATATACAGTGGTTTGTCAGTGTCCTGTGAGTTTACATAGTTTTCTAGTAGTAGTCTTCTCTCAGCCTAGTTACAATCAAAGTCTGGAGTAGGAGTAGTTTTTTGTGTGTTAATTTTAGTTTACCATTTAAGAGTCAAAGTTAAGTATTTGGGACATCAGATTTATTTCCAGGTATGCAGATGGATCGTCCAATTCAAGAAGAACTTGACACATCACATTGTTGTCTAGTTGCCATCGGACGTTTGCAGGTGAGTGGATAAAGTCTAAATAAAATATCTTGAGCATTTATCAGATTTGGTTCAAAGTGACTGTGTAAACTCTTCTCAGGTTACATCAACTCCCAATGCTTCGGAAAACAGTTTATGTAGCGGCGGAGTAGAGTTCGTATCACGGCATTCAGTAGACGGGCGGTTTACCTTCGCTGACCAACGTGCGACGCAAGTAATCGGTTACGCCCCAGCTGATCTTTTGGGAAAGCTTTGTTACGAATTTTATCATCCAGAAGACCAGCAACATATGAGAGATAACTTTGATCAAGGTTTTTATGTCATTTAATATTATCAACATGTAAAATAGCACGATATACAAGGAATACTAACTCTGTCAATTTTTTGTTAGCTCAATGAAACATTTGTTAAATGAATCATTTGTTTCAGTCTTGAAGTTGAAGGGTCAAATCATATCCCTTATGTACCGGTTTCGCACTAAAAGCAGAGAATGGATTTGGTTAAGAACTTCCGCTTTTGCCTTTTTGAACCCCTACAACGATGACGTAGAATACATCGTTTGTACGAATACGTTGGCCAAGTATGTATACTGCGTAAATATTATTAAACTTGACTTTTTTTTAAATTGAACTTTATTACATCTTTAAAGATTTTTATGTAACAAGTGGTATATGTGATTGATTAGCCGATCATTGGGCAACACTGCGGGTGAACCTGCACCAGAAGAGAATTACGATTACCATTTAAGACATCGCGACGTGTATCAAGCTCCACCACCGAATCTTCACCAGCAACATCACGCTCCTCCAGGTACTAAACATTGACACCTAAATAGAGATCGATATGAAAATAAATATTACGTAGATTCTTTGTCTAAAAGTATTTGTATTAATTTTTCTGTGTATGATACTTTAACTTTTAGATGGTATTTAAAAATTAAATGTATTTATTTGCCATACGTAGTGGCGGGAGGAGGTGGCGGCGGAGGAGTGGGTGCCCGCTCGCCGGGCGAGGCCGGCGTGGGCGGCGTGGGCGGAGTGGCGGGAGCGGCGCCGGCGCCCGCCTACGCCACGCCATACGCGCCCGACTACTCGCCGCACCGCCCCACCAACACGCCGCCGCACACCACGTGGACCACACTCCGCACGGTAATTATCCATCAACTGTATATTGCTCAAAACAGCTTGTCGTCTGTTGCACACACAGAAGATGATCATATTTTATACCCAGAACTTTAGCCAATACGTCACAGAAGACAGATTAAATATAAATCCTAATCCTAAAGCCAAGTATTTTACCAGGTACTACTGGATTGTACGTTAATTCTTAGTACTCCCTACATTTCCCGGTTTTTCTAATACTATCCTAGACTATTATACCTTGTTCGCTAGCTGTCAATACGTAACGTTTTTTAACACAACGTACGTCGTAACGTCAGTTTTTTTAAATATTACACAAAAAAAGAAATAATATCAACCATCGGCTTCGGCCCAGTTTTTTAACTACAATTTTGGTAATTAATATCATAAAACAATGACGACACAAAATGGTACAAAAAAATTGAGAATAAAAGTTATAAAAGAAAATGTATTAGGCGAAATTTCGGCAATGTTTATAAAAAAAACCTGAAATATTTAATACCTTGAAAATGGTTAGATTTAGGATATGGATATTTCACAGTGAAATCTATCACCAATAATGCCAATACAACTTCCTAAAGTATCTAGGTCTAGTTAACCAGTAACCCTGTATAGTTAGTACTGAAATATGATACGCAAAGCATGACTTGTACATTAAATAATTACGCTAGTTTCGGAAATTGAATACGATATAAAACTGTGAGAACTATATTCATTCCTGTTTTATACAAATTTGTTAAATATTAAAGTAAACGATTTGTTAATACTTTCTTGTCAAAATTCATTATGTCATATTACATATTGTCAAAAATCATTATGTCATGTCTTATATTGTCAAAACTCATTATGTCTGCAAATCTACAGAGTTTACTGTTTTGAGGGAGCCGATTTGATTTGACAGTCGAACACGTAATTACATAATACTTTATGACTTTGTCAATATTATCTAAATACAATAGTTATTGAAATCATGTGCTTCTGCCTTGAAGTTAAGAAGTCTGAAGTTCTGACTTCGTTTTCGATACGTAATTATCGCGCCAATCGACAAGATAGCGTTTTTATGCCCACCTGAGTACCCAGATTCAAAGTGCCTAAATATTTACATATACAACTTCTGCGTGCCTCACCCGTACTTTCTACTTATTTTCATGTGTGATACTGATACATATCACAGATATGAAAACAGTACACTCATTTTGAATTATTACACAAGTATTATAACGTTACAGAGCGGTGCCGGAAGCGGAGAGAGCTACGCGTACAGCGGCGAGGGCGGAGGCGCGGCGGGCGGCGCGGCCGACGCCAGTCCCGCGCGCTCGCCGCCCGCGCCCTCCTACCTGCCGCCCGCGCACTACCACCTCAACCACCACCCGCATCCCTCCCACGGTACTTACCAGCTTCTTAACTGAGCCCCGCCGACTTTGTCCGATCCTATACGACTTCTTATGATACTTGTTATTACTTATTATGGTTAATTTATTCAATGTATCACCATTAAGATTCGAACAATAGGAAATATGCATGTCTTTTTTTAAACGTTTCTACGAGTTATTACAGTATCCAAATAAATATAACACCCGAAATATAAACCATTGAGCTAAATTTTTTTTACAAAAGTAACTATTATTTTCGGGCGATTTATCCGCGGCCATTTTGGCGCGCATATTCTGTGATGTCAGATTACAGAGTTCGATGTCAACAACGAAGTGTTTGGTTAAGAAAGTTACTGAAAGTTAAAAAAGTGAGTTATGAAATCAGCTTATTACCATGGCAAAGCACAGAAAAGTTAATTATAAAGATTGTGTCTTTCCTACGTGCCAAAATAACATCAAAACTGCAACTGACAAAGTATATTTCCTTATGCCGAAAAATACAGGTATAAGGAAAAGTGGTGCAAGGCGAGAAGAGACAATGTATACACCAGAACCATACAAACAACTTGTTGACAGAAGACGTCGATTGAAATTTGACGTCACGTTTTTTCTACCAATAGTGTTGTGTTTTAGAAATTTGCGACTGATTTTTAAAAAAGCCAAAAGCTATAAGTAATTGTAAAGGTATCTTTTTTTAGCAATACAGTTTACAAATAAAAATATTGTGTGCATTTTGGAGTCACGTGCATATTCCCTATTAGCACAGTATTTGTTTTATCTCCGTAAAATTTGAAAAAAAGGGGTTACAAACTTCCTCATTTCAGTAGTGCATAGTGTAAAGTTTTACACTTTACACTACTGAAATGAGGAACTTCAATGTATAGTATTATTTTAATGTCCGATTATTAAATAAATGACACGTTTTCCAGGTATGTGGTCGTGGCAGGCCGGGGCGGGCCCGGCCGCGGGCGCCGCTCCCGCCGAGGGAGCCCACGGGCCGCACGAGCTCTCCGATATGTTGCAAATTCTAGACCAGAGTGGTACGGCCACTTTCGAGGATTTAAACATTAACATGTTTAACTCGAACTTCGAGTAACGATAGTTGTATAAATATAAAGTATGTACTTGACGCGCGAAGGCGAAAGCATATGCTGCCTGCTCTTTCGAAGACCGTTTTGTGAAACGAAATCCTCTGCGATGCTGTTTAAGATTCTTTATATCTTATCTGTGCAAAAGTAAATATTTTTCCGTTCTTTCAGTCTGTGAATATTTAATATTTCGAATGGGAACCTTTTTGAATATCCAAGTAGTCATATCTTTATACAGTGTGTAACATAAACACACACTCCAAAAGTATTAATGTATAACGAAATTATTATTAACCTATAACTACAACATTAACTTGTTTTATATTTATATGTAGTATAAACTTAAATCTAAACAATTAAGCAAAGTTGAAACATCATTTGAAGTAAAATAAATAGTATTGTACAATCTATAAATATATTAAGAAATAGAAGAATGGACGCCCTTAGCGCAGTCTGCCATCTCATACATACATTAGCGGTGGATGCACTCATAAGCGGTCGGCATTGTCGGTTCAGCAGTATTTGTCAGCAAGTAGAAATTACTGCACTTGTTCGGTCTCAATCGGCTTGTGCTAAACGGCAAATTCATTCGGGTTTCGAGGTCGGTTTTCGGTTTAGTCGCTCATTTTTCCCTTGGTTTGTGATTCCCGAATATTCATCTACATATAACAGGTGTGCTGCAAGTAATAACAAAAAAAAAGTGGGGGTGCTTTTTACTATTGACAACAGGCACCCAACGCTTTTTTCAAATTTATTTTCTATTTTTTTAGTTTGGTTTTCTATAGAAAGCGTGTTTTTTAGTTTTTTAAAACATTTTTTTTTTAATTAGTGTATTGTCATCGGTCCTTGATCTACAAAGTTTGAACGAATTCTGACCGTTTAAAGACAGTCAAAATCACGCCCAAAGGAGTCGGTTACAAACATACAAACATACAAGTGAAGCTAATATAAAGCGTGTAAAAAGCAATAATGGATAACACGGTTCGATATACGTCGGCTAAAATTAAAAAAAAGTTCGAAAGTACAGAAATGCAAATTTAGAACAAATTAAATACATTAAAATAATTGCCGACTTATAACACCATCGTTAACATGAGTCGCTGAACTGCAGACGAAAGCGTCGCAATGACATCATGACAAGAGCGCGAACTTCACATTCTTATTACCTACCTACTAATCACTTCACTTGTTATTTAAAATCAATTTATGAAAAATACGATTTTATTCACGTCTTTATTTTGACAATGCTCGACTATCTTCGGACCCGGCAGTACGTGTCACTCCTTGAAACAGTAGGTACTTTAAAATAAATTTAGCGGGACTAGTCACAACAGGAAGTCTTGAGCATACGAGAACATTAATTGTTCACACCATTGCCGTGTATAATGTTTATGAAGAACGCAATAAGACTAAACAATAATTAACACAACAAAACTGTTCTCAACACATATCTCACAAACAATAACAATATTATTATTACGATAATTTGTCGTGAGCGCATCTACAAGGACACAGAACAGCATAACACTCAGCGAGTCGCGGTGACTAAGGGCCGACTGGCCGACTGACTGTACTTACTGCATGAACTAATTAAAAACGCGTGTCCTTCATCCTGATGACGCATTTTTTTTTCGAGTTTAGTAAAAGCGGCAACGTTTGATGTTAACGCGCTGCGTATACGCTTCTAAATCACTGAATTTTTTTTTTGTTCATATTTTCGTGTTAGTTCATATTTTGCAAATCGTCTAGAAATAAAGTGCAGAATATATGGGTTAAAGGTTTGCCAAAAGGAAAAAACAGAGTGTATATTCGATTTTACAGTCCGTCTGTGCCGATTAAGTGTTGCCCGCTTATGAGTGTAGCAACCCTTATAGACAGCTAAAAGTTACTATGCATGTTGATAATATGACTTCCATTTTTTTACTTTCAGTTTATTAACCTAGCTTGCGGTATCATACTTTAAAAAAAAAGAGTAATATTATTCATTTTTTTATTAAATTATTTGTAGAAAATAAACCCAAAAGTCTTATTTAGAATCTCGTGTAAAGCTTTCATGTTCCATAAGTAATTTTTTTGTGACAAAAGTATTTCAATACTTTAATTTCTAAATTATGAAACTTGTTAAAAAAAGCAATGTACACAAAAATAAATATACCTACAGAGATATAAAACGCTTTGTCAGCGCACCGCGGTAAATTTTTTAAGCAGTCTCCACCACCAGTAGTTTAGTCTCCTTTTTAGGTACTATTAGGTTTCTAGATGTACCTAGTTTACTTTTTCGGATAAACTTGTTAAAACCTCAAAGCCGTGACTGCACACATGAAAATATGTTTTTAATTTGTTGCTTTTTAATGTAATGACTGAAATTACAAATATCTAGTGTTGACGGTAAATAATAGGTCACATAAATATGTCAAATGAACAATTATATTCTTGCATATTAACAATCGAAATATTAAATCCACAGCTGAATGTAAAGTTATTTTCTATTGATTTACAAGATATTTTGGTTTCACTTAATATAATTTTTCATTTATAGTTGGCAGCTTTTTTATATATGTCAAAATTTCTATTGTATTGTACAGACTAAGCATGTTTTTATATTCGCTAGTATATATGCCCATTGATTTGATTTTAAATCAACAAATTAACGCTCTAAAGTATTACAAAGAGGTGGGGTATTTTTCTTCTAATGGTGTAACTAGCAAAATTTAGTTTTTATGCATATTTTTTTATTAAGTATAATATAGTAGATTTTTAACTTGTTTGTAAGACTCATTACGAATATAAATTATAAAAAAAGAGAATTATTTTTAGGTAAGGTCCAAACCACCATTCCACTACATTATATATTTAGACAAAGCAGAAAATTATACACTAAAATACTCAACTATAATATTTCTCGGACTCTATGATTATCTTAATGTTATACTATAATACAACTACACTACAGATAACGCTACAAAGCCAAAGACCTGCGTCCATTGTGAATCCTTTGGTCGCGATCGTTTTGCTAGTTCTATCATTGGGTACATAAATGTTTGGTATTGATATCTAGATACATTTTTAGCTCACACTAACATCAGAATGGCTTCTGTTGTTACTAGTGTTTTTGATCCATGGCTATGCTCGTATTTCACAAAGATGGAGCATTTATAAAACAATAATTGCCAACAAATTCTATAACTATCTTGTATTTTTGAGGGGGAAGCCAATGCCGAATAGTCGAATCAACTCTCGTTGTATCCAGTGGTGCTGATAAATCCGAGATAAATTATAACTTTAGTTATCTACAATACAACCCAAATTGACAAAGGTGATAGAAATCATCTGAAGTCTATCGTATTCCTGTTATGTTCATAAAGTTGGTATACAATATGGACTGAAGTATGGAAACTTCGAAACTGTTTTTTTTCTTTTTTCGGTTCATTGTAAGACCACAATCATCAAAAATGATTTGCTTGTAATTCTACACAATTATTGTTTTATATAAGTACTTAGTTTTATTTGCAATCAAGAAAAAAATGATATTTTCATTGTTAATGTATTTAATTTTAGATAATGAATTATATTTTATGTAAGTAAAACATTTATGAATTCATATTTTCTTTGTAATGGATGATTATTGTTTTAATTGGTTGAATAGGTATAGTTACCTGAATTTTGTAAAATGAATTTTTCATTAAATATAAGGATACGAATGGTGTGCCTTTCTCTATATAACTATATATTTAAAATAACATTGGAAATTCTCAATCGTGTTAGCTTTTTTAGCTGAATAAAACAGTGAAAAAATAACATGTCTTGTAGTTGAATTCTGTCATGTTGTTTACGTTATACATATTGCAACATTTCAAGGGTTGGTTACCTTTGGGGCTACAAATCTGGTTTCTATTAATTTCTACACTTTCTATCAAGATTTGATCAGATTTTGAATTAACTCAGTAAAAAGTGATCGATGAACTATAAAATTGTAGTCAAACAAAACGTCAAAATGCCGCCGTGCACGTTTAAAAACAAAAAAAGTATCTTTTTTTTAATAAAACCATAAGCAGTCAAAGAATCTAGCTTGCTCTATTTGACCAATGTTTGTGACCACGCACTAACCATTGGACAACATGAAATGCCTTAGAACAGCGAATGATAAGTAGATTTTTTACTAACATGTACCTGCTTCACAGCCTTTACTAGTCCACTGCTGGACATAGGCCTCTCCTTAGAAAGGAGGTTTTGGCCTACTATACCACGCTGGCCAGACGGGTTGGTATAGGATTACCTATACCAACCCTAGGAATACCTGCTTATTTTTAGTAAATTTCCTAAAATGTCTTTAGTAAATGATGCGTTTTGATAGATTTAGTGCCCAGAATTCAAAAGATGCTTAATATTATAAATCACACCAATATAAGGTCAGAGTCTCCTTAAGATGCTACCGCACAGCAGTTATATAACGTTATAGAATGTTGCACAGCATTTGTTGTCTAACTTTTGTAACAAATGTTAGAAATTGATAGAGATGTTTTACAACTTCATGAATGAAAATGTTATACAACTAACTAGAACATTTTATAACAAATTATAACTTTTATGTATAACATCATACGAGCGACAGCGGGACGTTAGCGGAACACCGCGAGGAGCGTGCTCGCGCGCTTTCTTTTGCAGTGTAAGTACCTACTCTGTCACGTACACAGCTCTAGTCATTTTATTCGATCCATGCATTCAATCAATTTAATTTAGATAAACAATTTCGGTCACTTATAGGCCAATTCCAAAGAGAGCAAGAAGTCTAAATCAGGTGCGGGGCTTATGATGTTACTAAATTATATAAAAACCTTTTATTTTTACAAGATCGAAACAAGCCAGAAGAAACTATTGATGGTGGATTGTTGGTGAGTACAAATTTAACTATTGTTAATAATAATTAGATGCCCAATCCAATCAAAACCTTGATCTGAAAAATAATCAGAAAAGTCATTTCTTATTAGTTCAGCATCTTTATTTATTTATTAATTGCTTTCTACCTTTTTTTTTTCGTGCGGAAATCCCCTCGGATACCACCGGTGGCATGTCGGACTCGAACCGACTAAAACCGCACGCCGTCTCGGGTACTAATAGCCGGGGAACCAGGTATACCCTAGAAAGGAAGTCCCTGGTGTGCCACCTGTCTACCTTGGGGTGGTGTTTAGAGTGAATAAATGCACTAAACTTGAATAAAAAGTTTTTATAACTTACTAAGAAATACATTCACACGAAAAGATAGGCAAAAAATGAGGATAGAAAAAGGGATAAAGGTATTTTCATATCCATTAAAACTTTCTTACATACATACATTTACAGAATTCGTAAAATACGAGTATATTAGGTACCTATTAATCCAATGATGATGTAGCTTCTTTGTGTGTGAAGAGAGCACTCACTTTCCTTGAACGAATGACGACTGGGTGCCATTCTGATTTCCTGAGGAAGAGTGTTCCAGAGGAGGACAGATTGAATGAGGAAGGAAAAATGAACAAACGCGGAAGTATGAGAGGGGCATAACAGAAGAAGATTATTTGTGGAGCGAAGGGTTCTCTCATGAGTTGGAAGGATGTCAAGTAAGTAGGTGACTTGAATAAAGACTAGTAAGGGCGCGCAGTTGACGGCGCTGTCAAAGCGGCAGCCAATTTAACTCAAGGCGTAAGGAGGAAACATGGTCAGATTTACCAATCCACCAATCAATCATTCAACCAATCAATCCAGTATCGGATTATTAAGGTCTGTACCAACATCGCTTTTGCCTCAGAGGGAAGAAAGTTCTTGAGCCTGTATAAGCCCCGTATCCTGTTATTTTCTGGCTGACGCTAGCAACCTAGGTTTCCTCGCTAAGTTTGCCATCAACGAAGAGGCCTAGATCCTTAACAGAAGAACTTACGAGAATACTTAATCCGTTTAAAATTATAGGTGGTAGTTTAACCGGATCTAGCCTGCTGGTCAAGCGTTGACTGCCGCCGATAATAGAATTATGCAGGATTCATGTAGGCAAACACATAGACAGAAGGATATCGTGACTGAAGATTTTAAATGCATTCGAGAAATTAACCAAAACCAACACAGTGACTTTAGTCTTCAATTCGTGCCCGGATGTCACAGGTCACTTTTAGGAGAGCGGAAGTTGTGCTGCGAGCAGGCCTGAAGCCTGATTGAAAAGGACTTAGTAAATGGTTCCGATATACAAAATGTGATCGCTATTGATATACACATGAATGAATCGAGCACTTTGGATAAAAAGGGAACAATTTAAATTAAATGCAAGTGATTTAGAAGGGTAGGATTAGGTACCTTTTGAAGGGGTATACTAAACGCGTTACACCACAGTGAAGAAAAAATCCCTGAATAGAGCGAGAACTTCACTATATGCGCAAGCGCAGGAAGAACGTGTTCGAGGATGGGTGTGATCATGCGACGATTGATGTTATCACTTCCCATGGCGTTAGATTTAATGGAGAAGATTATCTTTTTGACTTCATCTGATGCAACTAGAGAGAATCGAAAAAGTTTAATTTTAGGGCAGGGTGGTCAGCCAAGTACCTTAAAGTCTGACACTTTGATGATTACATTTTGTAAGTGAGGTGAAATATCGGTTAATGTCATCCAAATCAAAGGTCGTTGAAGAATTACATTTTACGGATTTACCAATACAGGTTGCATGGGAATCTCCAGATATGGGTGGCAGAAGGATTATTAATATTGTTAATAATATGGCAGAATGTCCCAGGAACTTGCTTTACTTACACAACATCTAATTTGTATTTTTGCCTACATCCTAAACAAATAAAGTTCTAATTGATTCGATTGAAAGGTTAATTACTAAATCATTAAATATGTGAACCTTATCGTTTGCTTGCTGTATTCTTCAGAAAAAATACTGCAAAATTTAATTTTAACTCACAATCATATAGTTTTCAGAAATGTTCAATATGAAAAATTCTTCTGAAAAAGAAAAAATACTGTAAAATTTATTTTTTATCTCACAATCATATATTTATCAGCAAGCAAACTGAAAACGAATGTTGATTCAAAGTAATCATTTGTTTTGGATTGATTTCAACAAATCATCTAATGATTGCGTAGAATCTTGACTGAATTGTGGGCTGTAAGCGTTTATATCCTATTTATATTACATATAATAAATGACTTCATGTTGTCTGATGATGAATCTTCTGCGAACAAAGGGGGTGGCGAAACGAATGGGGTGGCGGCGAGCGCGTTGCGAAGCGCGCTCGCCGCCTGCTTCTGCTAGGATGACAGATGGCCTCAGCTGTCACCCCCAGGCCTGCGCTTATGGAGGACGGAGGTCGTTCTGCGACCTCCGGCACCTGAGTCGCCTGCGATACCTGGCCCGTTCCCGCGCCTGGCGGGCAGTGAGAGTCCTAAACCTCTCCCGGTCCCGCTCCGCCGTCTCCTTCGCGAGCATAACTTGCTCGCAGAAGGCGACAGCAGAGTTCCACGCACTCTCGCTCCGCACGATAGCCGCAATCAGGCTATCGAGCGAGAGAACTCCCACTCCGATGGCCGCCACGAGGTCTCGCCTCTGCTCAACCCACGCCGGGCACTCTGCCAGCGTGTGGAGAGCCGTGTCCACGGTCTGGCCATCGCAGTGGTGGCACTCAGGCGTTGGCTCCTTGCGGATCAGACACAGGTGATCCCCGAAACATCCTTTCCCAGTGATCACCTGCGTCAGTCGGTATGAGAGGGTCCCGTGACGCCTCTCGAGCCAATCCTCCATACGGTCTAATCAAAGTCTATGCGATTATTGGATCTATTATTATACCTTATTTAGATTCCTTAATAGCCGCCGTAGAACATCAATTTGATTAAGAAAATTTTGCCGCTTTCGCTTTAATGTCACTACTACTAATTTTCACCGTGGGAGAGCCGTGCATTGGCACGAATGGGATGACTCGACCGGAGTAATACCACGGCCTCACAGAAAACCGGTGTTAAGCAATTCTTTCGTTGCCTTTCACTGAGTGAGTGAGGTTACCGGAGCCCAAATCCCCTCTCCCGCTGACTCGAGCGGGAGGGACGCCAAGGGCGGCAACGCACTTGTGACTTTTGAGTTGCAGGTGTCCATGGGCGGCGGTAGTTGCTTACCATCAGGTGACCCGTCTGCTCGTTTACCCCCTTATGGCATAAAAAACATCCTAGTATGTTAAATATATCTAGTTGATTTAAAAAAAAAAAACCCAAAGTTTCTGCCAGTACTACGAGATATCTTTATGATCATGAATCCGAACTGTGTAATAAACTATGGAAGGATAAGGTTGTGAGGGAATACTGTTCTCATCTTTATGCAGGGACACCTCAATACCATTTCCTCCCTCCGGACCGCATCCAACGAAGATCGACTCGAATCGTCGATCGTCGATAACCCAAACATCTCCGATCGGCTCGTTGCCTTGGTAGAGATGTGGCTTCACTCGGCATTCTCTATAGCATATATCATGGAGAGTGCTCCGAGGAATTATTCGGACTAAGCCGCAACTTTCCGCCATCATTCCACACGGCAAAATTTTCATCCTCATCACCTGGATAGCTGGCGCTCCATTATTGTGCGCTTTTCGAGACACTTTTTGCCCCGCAAAACCAATCTGTGGAACGGGTTATCGTCTGCGGTATTTACGGACCGATACGACGTTCAAACTCCTTCCTAAAAGACCGGCAACTCGTTTGTGACTCCTGAGTTGCAGACTTTAATGGGCGGCGATGGCGATTTCATCACATAAAAAAAATATGATTTAAGTTATTCGTTACTTTGATGCGACAATTACTCTTTTTGTAAATAATTCTAATGAATAAGAAAAAATTAAAATTATCAGGTATTTATTAATAATTTATTTATTTTATTCTATTTTGTTTATTGAATTGAATAAAACGTACGTGAATAAACGGAAATCTTGTTCACTCTCAGATGTTATATTTTGACAGTTGCGTTTTGTTTAACTTCTTGAATTTCTTTCAATCTTGATCAATGAGATTCCAATTCCAATTTTCTGAAATATATAGCTAATATAGTTGTTACCTTTGTGTTTACGCAGTCTGATTTTGATTGCTATATCGTTAATTATTTAGATGGAGTAACGGATTAAAAAGGCCTTAAGAGCAATAAACCATGGCCCGAATGGGAAAAACGGCACAAGAATTTATTCAAGACTCATTTTCCCCTATAATTGCAATATTGTGTAGTCCTAAAGTAGAAAATGTCGTATCCAAAAATAATCTGTCTTTTACTGAACTACTGCAACCATTTTCAACCATGGACTTCGAAGGTATTGTATAGAAATTCGTATGTTAATCGATTTCTACCAGTTGCTGAAAGATTGAGTAGGAGGCAGTAAAAGATAATGTTTGTATATTTGATAGATTAATCATTGCTGGCCCAATGAAGATTATAAATAAATCTCTTTATGAAATTTCACGATTATTTATTCAGTTGGTACAATTTATACCAGAAAGTAACTGAATAATTTGAATTCGCCTAATGATTAATATGAATATAACAATCATCATCATCATCATCATCAACAGCCTTTACTAGTACACTAATGGACATAGGTCTTAGAAATGAGGTTTTGGCCTACTATACCAAGCTAGCCAGTATAGGGTTTGTTTCAAGTTTTCCTTCTCTTTGCAGTGCTGTTGTCCTGCATAGTTTACTCCCTTAGTCGGCTCTTCCAACACCCACGGGATGAATAGGGGTAGTGACACTGTATTCTTAATCCGTCACCACACACACACACAATAGCAGACCAGTAGTCTAACAAATAAAAGCCTTTTGGATTCCTCAGTTGATGATCCTTTGATGATGGTTTTAACTCAGAGAGGGGTGATTTTTTTGTAGTCGAGACTTATGACAATCTCCGATATGTTTTCTTAAATCATATGAGCAAGATGCAGAACATGGCATTCCATGTGGTGACGGAATAAGAATACAGAGTGTCACCACCCCTATTCATCCCATGGGTGTCGTAAGAGCCGACTAAGGGAGCAAAGTACGCAGGACACAGCACTGCAGAGAGAAGGAAAACTTGACACAAACCCTATACCAACCCGTCTGGCCAGCGTGGTGTAGTAGGCCAAAACCTCCTTTCTAAGGAGAGGCCTATGTCCAGCAGTGGACTAGTAAAGGCTGTTGATGATGATGATGATGGCATAACTTTCTCATATATGGATGGTATGGTAAATGGTCCCATTTAAATTTTATGTAGATCTGATGACGAGTTTCAAAAACAGACAACAGAACTCTTAAAAAAATTATAGCAATTCAACTAGGATTGCTGCTAGCTTTTCAGTGCCCTTTGCTTGAAGTAGGTTCAACTTTTTTTTTAAGTAGGATTTTTATTAACTTAAAACTTACTATAAACTTTATAAAATATAATATTACATATATATATCTATTTTATATATTATCATATATATCTATTTTCAATTATCTATGCACTTTCAAGATTCCACTGTTTAGTATTATTTTTAAATTTTATGTCAGCTCTGCATTCACGGTATGATTTCAAATAAATATGGTATAGAATGTTAATTAATACAGAAATATATCAATTGGTAACCTCTTATTTATTAATAGCTATAATTTATTTCCATCCATGTGGTGATGGCTTAGGAATATGGAGTGTCACCACCCCTATTCATTCAGCTCTCATTCAGTACTGTACAGTACAGTACAAAGACAAGGAAAACTTGACACAAACCCTATACCTACCCGTCAGGTCAGCATAGGCCAAAACCTGCTTTCTTAGGAGAGGCCTATGTCCAGCAGTAGACTATTATAGGCTGTGATGATAATTTATTTATCTAGTGGTTACAGCTAGAATGTATTTCTAGAAAATAAATATCTTTAAAATTTGTGTGGTTAAAAATTTAAGTTTTAGATTCAATCATTTCAAGCTATGTGAAGAATTTGAATATGTGTTTAAATGTTTTATTGTAATAATTTTAGGTCAATTTAGAGATCCTAGTGGTAATACCTGCACTATAAAAAATTGGAAACTAATTATGAGAGAAATAAACTGGAAGCCATTACAACCAACAGAAGCAAGAAGACAGCTAAATAATGCAGTATTATATAATTATCATGATAAGATTGTTTCCATGGAAATTGGTATATTTTGATTGTCATTTTTTTAATTTTGTAAATGAGACATTGATAAGCATTAAACATAAAACTATTGTATTTACGTCTGTTATATTTTTATGTTTCTTTTTTGATGTCAACATTAATCTACTTGGCAATTTTTTTCAGACGGAAGAAAATTTGATATACCTCAATCCACAAATTGGTTTGATGCTTGGAGGGAGACTTATCTCGAAGTACAGTTTCCATCAGACCATGAATTTACAAAACATTTTATATCATGTATAATAGTAGGAACTACTTCAGATGAAAATGTTATAGACAGTTTTAATAATTTAAATCAACAATATGCACAGTTGCAAAATGTGACACCACCAAAATTACCAAAGTGGTTCAACAGCAGTGTTTTAAAGTCCTACCTTCTACTCCATGATGTGTCTGCAGTACCTAAGGAAAAGTAGGTTGATTATAAATACAATAATAATAACTTGACACATCTCACATGCTTGCTTCATCTCATACACCTATGTTATGGTAACCAGACCGCTGAAATATCCTTATATTTCTTTATACATACATGTTATAGATAGATAATTGTATCTTTCGGTAAAGGATCAAACAATATTACTTCATATTTGTGACACAATATATTTAAAAATCATAGTTAGTCTTCACTCCAAAAGAAAAAATCATAGTTAGTCTTCACTCCAAAAGAAATATATTTTGCTAGAAATTCTGATATTTCTTATTTACAATTTGTATTTATTTCATAACTTTTTTTTCAGGGCTGATACTTCATTTGAATTATTGAAACAAACTTTTGGAGCTAGTAATTGCTTCCTGTTATCAATTAATTCTAAGAGTACATTAGATCAAAATATAGCAACAGACTTATGGGCTCAGTTTGTTAAGAGAACATCACAACCCAAAGTAAGCCTGATCATTATTGAAAAATTACTTAATAAGGATTTTGATAAATGCACCAAGGTAAAAGTACCCAATATATTCTTGTTCTCAGAATGAGATGTCTTCATCACTTACTAATTTGCCAACTACACCTGCTGAGCCACAAGCAGCATTTCCACCATCCTCAATGAACTTACAAGGTACTTTTATTATCTTTCTAAATTTATATATTTAAATTTCTATACATTGATTATATTTAAATCATGTCAGGTAATTAAATGATTTTATTAAGTTCATAATGAGATATGATCTAGTATAAAGTCCATTGCTGGACATGCACCAAAGCACTTGGTCCTCCACTCACGGTAGGATTCGAAAGCTCCACAATTCGGCAGATATTGCAAGCCCATTGCAACTTCATCCTGTATTTGTTAAGTTCATATCAACACAAAGGCGTCGAAATGCCGCATTAAGATTTCACAGCATCTCTCCCAGCTCAGCCATTCCTGCGACTGATACTGAGAAGATGTCATTGGCAAACTGAAGATGTTAGAGTGGATTCTTTGTTTATACTGATTCGCTGTACGCTCCACTCTAGTGTATTAAGACGTCTTCAAGCGCATTCATGAATAGTTATGTAACTCAACTCCAGTATACACTTACGTGAATGTTTTAAAACAATATTTTATTTTTATTCAGCAGATGACAGCAATGCACTTACAACTGGAATAAATCCAGAAAATATGCATCCATTGAATACGCCTGAAACAGATATTTATGATAATGCAAACAGTTTACAGGTAAAATACAGTTATTTTACTGCTTTTAATTTTCTTCTAAGCCATGTCTTAATGCATATGTCACATAAACAAATATAAAACATTTACCCGCACCTTTTATTGTTATAATTATTAAGTACGATATTAGGATATAAATATATAGGGTTACTGGGTAAGTCGACCTAGATACTTTGAGAGGTTGTAGTTGCTATCATTTATGATAGATTTCACAATGAAATACCATATCCTAAACCAAACGACTTGCAAGATTTTGACTATTAAGTTTTTTTTATAAAACTTGCCGAAATTTTACCACAATAATATTATTAATACTGTCTTTGTGTACTTGATAAATTGTTTTATTATTTTAAGTACCTACTAAAATTGTAGTCAACATAACAAACTAGGCCGAAGTAGATGTTTATTCATAGCAAATAGATATAAATTTGTAACATTTTTTTTTCTTTGACAAATAATCTTCGATCAACAATAGCAACTAGATAAAGGGTCACGTACAAAGTCAAAGCTAAATGCTGTCCGCGTGAATATATACTTATGCAGCTACATTTGTTTACCAACAAACGGATGGAAAAGTTTTAAAATAGTTTTAAGTTCAACCTAATTACAACTATGGTACACAGTAATAAAGTCACAAATCTTCAAAATATTATCTAATACTTACGATCATTCCTTGCAAAAAACGAGCAAAGCAATAAATTACTCCTATCACTTTCAAATGGAAAGACATAAATAACATTTAGTGTAAAATCAACCTTATGGTGCAACAAATAAAGTACTTTTTCTCGTTATTGCCTTGAGAGCTACATCGTTTTGTTTTGTTTTATTTTTGCTTCTTCTAGTTTTACTACAGGAGGTATGGAGTCGCGTTGAACACTAAAATAATTTATAATATGAACGTAAAATATTAGTTGCTTACTTTTTATGTTTCGGACATCTATGTATGTTTGTTAGTATCATTACTTATTATTTTATTAACGTTACGTTTTTGTGTAATATGTATGTGTATTTACTTTATCACATATAATGTGGTATTTGCAAAAGCTATTTAGACGGATACAGTATTAATCGTTATCAAAATAAATACGTTAGTTATCTTAAGCAATTCATACACATTATAATAGCCCCTTACACCATACAATTTAAATTAATATGTTAGGAGATATCTTAAATTAAAAACTACGCGCGAGTGAATAAATTCGCGAATAAAACTCATCCAAACCAACAAGCTAATGCAAAAAAATGTAGGCATTTAATGCTTTAAGCGACCCGCCCTGACACCAAAAGCAGGACCCACATAGATATACATAAATAAAATATCTCTAAATTCCACATCAAATTAACCAACCAATTTTGAAGTTCTGTTAAGAATTTTTATTTGTAACATTAATTGATAATGACAATAAGTAGTCTTTAATTTAGGACAAGAACGACAATATTTTTTGTGAACTACCCTTATGCAAAGGGTGTTACAATTTAAAGTCCTTAAGATTTCTAGTATTTAGGATCATTTAGTATCAAAAAGATCATTTAGTATCTTAATAAATTCTACTGTGCATTCTGATTCTCTAAATGCGGGAATATTTAAAGTTTTATTACAAAAGTCTATAGCTTAAAAGTCTATAAGTCACTAGCAAATCTACAAACAAAAATAACATTACAAAATAACCACACTACTCCATGCATTCCCTGTTCAAGAACAGTCGATGTTTGATACAATAATTGATGCGTTGTAGCAAACATTGGCCAAACAATTATAACATTCGATAATTGAATTATATTTACAGTTTAATTCTGTTTATACTTATTGTATTATGAAAAACACTTATTGATATTAACTTACCGAAAAAAAGATATTCCTTCCGAAACCTTGGTGTTACGGTGGTTATTTACACAGTTTTTGAACGCGCACTGCGGCATTTTGACGTCCTATTGTGGGCTATGATTGGACCATACTAATTTGAAATAAGAGCACAAACACTTTTGTGCTATTCTTTTTCGGGCCGTTTTTGAAGCGCTTATCGGGAATCTAGTACTATTATTGATCGAAGCAAATAATATAAAAAAATCTATGACAGTCTAACTTCAGATTTGAAAAACATGTGCGTATTCTCAGCTGTCTAACAAGGTATATTAAATAGTCTAGGAAATATGGGCTGCTATTTTTGTATCCGGAACTGGCCAGTAACAGAATAATATTTAAAAAGTAATAATAACATTTAAAATTTTTGGCAAGAGCTAACTCAAAAACAGTGCATCGATCAACTCACTTCGACTTTTGGGGACGAAGCAAAATAAAAACAACTGTATCACTGGTTTAGTGAGTTTAATCAAGGGCGGTCTGTGCTCACGGATGAATTTAAAGAAGGTCGCCCTAAATCGGTTGTTGTATCTCAAAATATTGATGCTGTGCGGGATCTAATAATGCAAGATCGTCCTGTTACATATCGCGATATAGAGGCGTCTCTGGGAATAAGTATGACGAGTATATGTAAAATATTACACGAAACATTTAGCTGTAAAAAAATTGTTCACAATGGATTCCGCACAACTTGAGAATTGACCAAAAATAGGCTCATGTCGATTGGTGTAAAAAAATGTTACAAAAGTACAATCAGGGTGCGCCAAAAGCTGTCTATAATATCTACACAGGTGATGAATCTTGTATATTCACGTATGATCCTGAAACTAAACAACAATCAACGGTTTGGGTGTTCCTAGATGAGCCGAACCCAACAAATCATTTTATTTAAAACAAATGGTCGCTTGTTTTTTTCTTATAAGGTGCCACTACAGGATCGTAAAAAATGGACGTGTACCATTCAGAATTAACCGTTTTACGATCCTGTAGTGGCACCTTAGCCACATGTCTATTTATAAGAAAAAAACAAGCGTCCATTTGTTTGCCATATATTATGGAATATACCTATATAGAATAAATTTGAAAATAGCGTTGGGTGCATGTTGTCAATAGTAAAAAGCACCCTACGCTTGTTTTTCAAAATTATTAAAATTTATTTTTTAGTTTGGTTTCCTATAAAACGCTTTTTATAGGAAACCAAACTAAAAAATATATTTTTTTTAGTTTTTTTTTACTATTTTTTTATAATAATATTTATTTTTATTTTTTATATTAAATTATTGATGTATTGTCATCGGTCCTTGATATACCTACAAAGTTTGAACGAATTCTGAAGAACTTGAGTTTAAAGTCAGTCAAAATCTCGCCCAAAGGAGTCGGTTACAAACAAACAGACATACAGGTGAAGCTAATAAAAAGCGTGTAATTAACGGGTCATCCGCCGTACAGCCCTCACTTGGCCCCCAACGAATTCTATTAATTCCCAACCGTGAATAATAAATTACGTGGTCAAAGTTTTTCGACCCGTGAAGAGGCTGTTGAAGCGTTCAAAATGCACGTTTTGGAGATCACATCAGAATGGAAAAAGTGCTACGAAAGTCGGTTCCAACGTATGCAAAAGTGCATCGATCATCACGGCGAATATTTTGAAAAGCAATAAAACTAAAATAAATGCTATATGTTTGTTTCACTTTGTTATTCCGGATACATAAATAGCAGCCCTCGTAGTATCAGAATTCAAAGAAAAAGAGAATTAGTGGAGTGTTAAGAATTAGCGTACAACCCGGTAGTACCTAGTTGAAAACTTGGCTCTAGTATTTTCGAACTGTTTCGTTTTCTATTCATGGCTAACTATTGCTAAGTGGATTTTGATTTGTGCTTCTGATACTATTAGAGATGATGACCTATACGAACGAGGAATATGCTAATATTCTGATTTGTTACGAACCACCCAACCACCTCCTCCAATCCACATATTACGATAATTAGAATCCAGGCATTTTTTTACATTTCTATTGTAATGCGCAGGGCAACTATCATGCTGAAACCACATGCCGCGAATGCCATCCTTTGATTTCGTAAATGGCGTTATTTAAAGTCGTTTTTGCTTAAGGGTTTTTTTCATTATCTTGGTATAACTGTTTTAGTCTGAAAACGAATACTATTTGTGATAAAACATTTAAGAATCTATTAATACTTTTTGCTGCATGTTAATGATGTAATCCATATATTTCAGACTCATTCATTCTCTGGAAGCTCTGAAAGCGTAAATGTAGCTGGAAGAGTTTTAGAATTTTCAACTGAGGTTCATGGTACAGCTCTAAATGCAAATGATCTTGAGGCTATTAAGAATTTTTTGCATGAGTACGCATCTAAGGCATTACTACCCTACATGGAAAAGCAAATATCGCTTTTATCTGAAATTGTAAGTTATAATTTTTGGTGTTATTTCACAATAGATATATTACCAGAAACCAAAAATGTGTAAAAATACTGTCGAGACCAGATATTACGACATTGAAGGGACTTTATAGTTCAATTAATATGCCCGATAGTTGTTATATGCAATACACACAAATAAATAATCTAAGATACACAAGTAGTAATAGATATTATGTATGTATGTCAAATATGTATTTATGTCAAATATGTATGTATGTCACATATGTCTGTTTAAATAAGGTTAAGGTTAAATGTGTAGGTAGAATGGGTTTAGGTTATGCTTATGGAACTGTTTTTAAATAAAATGACGAAAAAAGAAAAAATGTTTATTATGAAAAAAATAACTACCTACAGTACAGTATACTCATAAGTACACTACTGTATACACTAAACTTATTTTTTACAGTAATCGATCATTTTGGTCTGTGTTTTTTTAAACTGAATCTGAATCGTGTTTTGCTTTTTACTTTTCATTCTCATCAAGATTGCTTGATTATCAGCAGAATTAATTTTCTAAATATTCCTTCATAGATTATAATTCCTTTGAAAATTGTTCGTATTGTTTCGTTTTGCGGGAACAAGTAAAAGTTTTGTCGTTATAGGCGATATGATACTTAATTTTATATCTAGGAATTCGGCCGGGACCTTGCCATTCGGTCGTAATAACCGATCTGTCGTTAAATTCGGTTTTTAACTGTATTTCATTTTAACAGGTAGCAAACCGAAAGGGTGTCAGCAGATCGTTGTTATCTGCAACAAAACGGTGGTTTGGCACTGGGAAAACTGGAAACACGACCAGCAACAGTACTGTTATGTATGTATGGTATTATATATATATATATATATATAGGTATTATATAATGTGACCGAAAACGCTCATTGAGCAAAAAACAAGTCATAACGGTGCGTTGTGGACACAAAGGACCACATGGCAAAATTTGTGTCGTGGGTATATTATACGATCACAGTCCATTTTGAAAATGCAGAAAATCCATGATGGCGCTGTTTTTTTTTTGCTCAATGACGTCTCATAAATAATACCTACATTTTTTGCGGTTAACAATGACTAAATAAAAAAAAACATTTGAAATTAGTTATTATTGGTAATACAATTTACGTAGGTACTGGAATAAATTAAATAATTGTATAGTTATGATGATAAGCCTTTTTTTGCCAAATTTAATGTTTAAAGTTGAGTAACTATTCTAAAGTAGACATATTTGTCAACAATTTCTAATGTAAATAACCTAAATCAAACTTCACAGAGATATATCTAAACAAGCACATATACATTAACCCATAAATTCCTACTTAAATAGCAATGAATATAACATTTGCAGATACACGAGTGATTGTCCAGAATTGCAATTAAGACGCTTAGGAGACCTCTGGTTTTTATGTCGCCAATGGCAACGTGCGTTTGATGCTTATCATACAGCGAAAAGAGAATTCTACGCCGACAGTGCTTGGCTTTGTTATGCTGGTGCTCTGGAGATGGCAGCGATTAGTGCGTTTATGGCAGGAGACGCCAACCGCAAAACTCATGGGTATATGGAGGAGAGCATTGTAACTTACCTGAATACATGTAGGTTAGTGATGCCTAAAGTTCTAAAATTTCGTTAGATGTAGGCACTCGTATACACTGCAATATAATCCGTCCAGTAGATTCGGAGCAAATTGTTTATGACAGACGAACATTTAAGGAGAGGCCTATGTCCAGCAGTGGACTATTATAGGCTGTTGATGATGATGAACAGAGAGTACGTTTGATCATACATATTTTTGACGTTGTACATATTTTGTACGTACTTACGTTTTATTTTTAGGATGGTGCAATACGCCGTGAGAGCCACTTTACTTTCAGTCCTTTGCTTAAGTGGTTCTGGTTTGCATGGAGAAGCCGCTAAACAGTTGATCAGGATGACATCAGAGGACAGTGATCTGCGTAGCGCTATGCTGTTGGAACAGGCTGCACTCTGTTTTTTGTCCGGTCCAGGCACTAAGGGCATGTGCAGAAAGTACGCGTTTCATATGGTTTTAGCGGGTCACCGATTCTCAAAAGCCGGGCAGAAAAAACACGCATACAGATGTTATAAACAAGCTTATCAGGTGTGTGGTCCATATTTATGTTACGTTTATACTTAATTGTCCATCCAAACAGGACAAGGAGTTTTCGACTAGCGATGAGTGGTTATTGGTACGTCATTAGTCTGTCATTCTGTGTTACAGGTATACGAAAATAGCGGGTGGCGGTTGGCGACCGACCACGTGCAGTTCGCGCTGGGGCGGCTGGCGAGCGCGCAACGGAACGCGCGCGATGCGCTGCGCTGGCTGGCGGCGCCGCTCGCGCCCTCCGGCCACCAGCCGCCGCACCAGCAGGCCGCTTTCCTCCGCGAGTACATGCTGGCGCACCAGGTACGCGCGTCTGCACCTGCCGATTATACATTGTGAGCTCTTCTCCTGCAGCTCTGGCCAGTCTCTTCTCTTCTATGATTCGACGTATAGAAGCAATTTAATGGTTCATATCTCTCGAGTGTTTTGAACAACACAGTCCAGAGCTCTAGAATTCTAGAGCTAGAGCTCTTGAATTCTAGAGCGTTTTTAACTACGGCGTCACCAGAATGAACCTACTGCGAGCCCTCCGCCTAGTTACGTCTAAAAAGTAAAAGAAAATCTTACTGGAACAATATATTAAAAACTGTGGTAACGACTCTGAGACCATAATATCAACCTTGTTATAAAACAATGTCATTGCATTATAAACGACGCTCAAAATTGAAAAGGGCAGGTGCACAAGATCTTTTATTATAGTGACATCAATCAATACTTTAAAAAATGTTAGTTATAAATCATAAAAATCTTATATTTATACCGTTACAAACATTTTTGCACTTTTAACATTATATAGTTATAGCATTTTTCGGCCAAACGTAAAAAGCCACATCGATAAAGCGTCTGTTATTGTAAAAGTGCACATACATACAACTGATTTGTGCCAAGTTTATTTAATGTCATTTGGAGCAGTGATCAAACGTCTGTCGTCTGTGGTATTTATAATGGTTTCATTGAACAAGGTTTTTTAGATGATTTTATAAAATCAATACTTATACAAACAACCATTGTGGAATCTGAAACTGGAAACAATTCGATATTAAAGTTATATCATACTTGTGTTTTTTTTTTTGATAAAATCAACGATCTAAGCCAATAAAGCTAATGAAAGCTAAGCTATAAAAATATTTCTATTGAACAGCAATGGATAGAGAGCGCTGAAGAGCCTCGAGAAAGATTAGAGGAGCTGCCATTACCGCTAGTAGAAGATCGCGAGACAAGTGTACTTTGTGTAGGACCTGCACCGCTGGCCTCGCCGCGGCGCCGTGCCGCCACTTCACTATCTCTCGGAGCTCCTTCAGAGTCAATTAGCGACGACCGTTCTTGGCGTACTCTTGAAGAAATGTTACTGCAAGTGGCACAGGGTGCTGTACCCATGATATTCAAACCTACCATTGATCTATACACTAGTGCTGCAGATGCCGAACCCCTCGTGCCACAAGGAGGTATTTATTACTCATACTTATATATTGTATCTAATTAATTACTTTTTAATAGACTAGAATTAATCGCATTTTAATATTATTAAGACCACATTATACAGAATTTAAAAGAATAGCTCGGTACGATATCGTTTTGTCATTAATTATTTTCACCTGACGTTTTCCTCAAGAGAGAGACATGTAGTTCCTTAAAACAAAATCGCTTGAACTCAGTTTCATATTCGAATACACGCTACTTGACATGACTTAGCGTAAGTCTTAAAATTATGGTGTAGCAATTCCGATAGGGATAACAAAAAAAATGAAGACCACGTTCCGTCAGGTGCCGAAGTTCTTACCTCTTGGAAGTGTTAGTTCACTAGTTCCCTAGTTCACCAAAAACCATTATCGGTGCAATTCGGTCTAAACCTTGAGTAACCCCAAAAAGTTTACCTTATAAACATTATCGCATTAAGTCCCAGGTTAGACATCTAACACGTATAAAAGTCACGAAAGTCGAAAAGAATAACTTAATATTAGGTCTTTACCTATGAAATTGCCGTTTTGTATGCAATAAGTGAAAGTACTTATTTTTTCAAACTTTTTTATTTCTGTTATTCGAAGTAATCACCCATGCAATCGACGCATCTTTGCCAACGCATTGGCAGTTTATTGATGCCCTTCTTGTAAAAATCAGCTGGACGGGAGGCAACAAACTCTTCAAAGGCATTTTGTACTGCCTCTCGGGAATTGAATTTTTTACCCACTAAAAAGTTGTCTAAATTTTGGAAAAAGTAATAGTCGGTAGTTGCAAGGTCTGGTGAGTATGGCGGATGAGGGAGAGCTTTCAACCCCAGCTCTTGCAGCAGCAGGAGACTGTCTGTTGCGCAGTATGGGGTCGCGCGTTGTCGTGAAGGAGCAGTGGGGACGACCGATTGACCAAAGCTGGTTGCAGATGTGCAAGCTTCTCCACCATTCTCTCCAGTTCTTCACAGTACACATCTGCATTAATGCTTAGTGGGTAAAAAAATCAATTCCCGAGAGGCAGTACAAAATGCCTTTGAAGAGTTTGTTGCCTCCAGTCCAGCTGATTTTTACAAGAAGGGCATCAATAAACTGCCAATGCGGTGGCAAAGATGCGTCGATTGCATGGGTGATTACTTCGAATAACAGAAATAAAAAAGTTTGAAAAAATAAGTACTTTCACTTATTGCATACAAAAGGGCAATTTCATAGGTAAAGACCTATTATATCTGTAGCGTATTATATTGTTTTCAGAACCTATACAGATATCCGTAACGCTATGGAATCCGTTAAAGATCACGTTGGTATTAAAAGATGTGGAGCTGTTGTGGCGGTTTGTGACCGGCGTCGATGATGGCACAGGCGACGAGACTGTTCTTAACAATGAACAAGCGTTGGCCGCGGGACAACCCTTGGAGAGCAACGTTATATTTAGTCAAAAAATTCAATCTGTGCAACTCGAGGGTGACTCTAAAAAAGTATTAATATTCACCTTGACGCCTCTACAAGTTGGTCGCCTTAATATACATGGCTTAGCTTATAAGTAAGGTTTAAAATAAATAAATATAAAGTTAAATATTTCATAAACTTTCTTTTAACATTAATATTTTAAATGTTGCTTTTTCAGGTTTGTTAATGTTGGCGAAGGAGGCATTGAAAATGGCAACAGTGTAATGATATCAGGAAAGGTTAACATCGGTTCCAGCGAAAAAGGACCCTATAAACGATTAAGAATTACAGTTATTCCAGAAGCACCTTGTTTGCAGGCAAGGAATTGATGTTTTTTATCTAAAAAAGCTGAATTTCTTTTCCAGGTTTTGGATCTTGTCTTTATAGAACAATAAAAATTTCTTTCTTCGAAAAATTATCAGCCACAGTTCTAAAGATTAGTTAAAAATTGACTTGGCAAAAATAAATAATAATTTAAATATGTTTTAGATGACTTTATCAGAAACCAATGCAGATATCATAAGTGGAGAAATGAGAACGGTAGATGTCGAATTTACAAACGTCGGACCCGTCGATATGAACGACCTTTACGTCGCCGTGTCTCATCCTGACTGCATGCATCTCGTAACCTCCGAAGAGGAAAACGATTTTAAAGAGTTATATGAAGATAAATACCGTGAACTACCTCATTACCCAGGTAAAGCGTTAGTCATAATCGAAGGCGTATCACATTACTTTACCCCTTCTCTTACTTTAGTGTGCTAGCTATTAAAAGAACTACATACTCATTGTCTCCATAATCAAGATATCAATATGACCACAGAAATCGTAATAATAACGCACTAGAAATGAATTAGCGCCCGATTACTTCCAAAAGCGATGTCGCCGCATCTTAACACATACACAAAATACAAACAAATAGATAAAAGACTCGCACATATACATTTCACTGTTGTCTTGCAAGCGGCAAGACAACGGTGAAATGTATAAGGCACAAACTATTATGAACTTACCCTTCAGAAATTACAGTGCATTTCACTCCAATGTAATATGTAGCACCTCTACAATCTCTCGATGTATGTGAATCCCTGTAAGCAATGCTAGGGATTGCTAGGGATAGGGTTTTTGAAGGTGTCGATATGATTTAATGAAAAAAATATAATAGATTTCAAGAAGCAATGAAAGCCATAGATATAACGAGTGTGCTAAAATTAATAACAAAAAATGAAATAACAGATAACACGGTTCAATTACGTCGGTTAAAATTTTAAAAATCCATTTTAGTACGAAAATACAGAAATGCAAATTTAGTACAAAAAAGTACAACATAAATTGCCGAATTAGAATACCATATTTAAAATGAGTCGGTGAACACACGTACACGGCAGCGTCGCAATGTCGGCGACATCAAAGCGACGCCGCTTCCGCGACGAGCAGGCAAAATTTACTACCTTCCTACCTTCAAAAAGCAAGTGAAGTGATTAGTAGGTAGGTAATACGTACATACTAATCACTTCACTTGATTTTAAAAATCAATGTATTAAAAATACGATTTTATTCACGTGTTTATTTTGGGAATGCTCGACTAGCTTCGGACCCGGCAGTACATGTCACTCCTTGAAAAAGTTGGCACTTTGGTTGTCTCGTAATCTTATAAAGATTACCGCCCTTATAAAGGCAGTCTGTAGGACATACACTATTGATTCCATACCTCGGTTTGTCCGTAAAGCTAAAGGTGCGTATTGATAGATTTCCCGGTAAATTAACATCATGTCACGATATTCCGTGGCTGTGAAGGTCACTCGCAGCATTATGGAATTCGAAACCAATAACCCAATAAAATTAAAAGACTGATAATGTACTCGGTTTCACACACACTACACACACAAACCAATATTTTCACTTTTTTAAATAAATTTAGCGGGACTAAAGTCGTCACAAAATAAGAAGCCCGTTTTGACGTTTCTCATTTGAGATGCCGCGATAACTTTGTATGAACGTCTATGTAACAAATTGAAAAATCAAATTCATAATCCTATTTAATTACTATGTTACCCATACACTATCACAACGCGTATCATAAATAAGCATCAAGTTTAACTTTATATTGAAAACATGCACTCAAAAACACGAATTAATCGTTGATTAATATTCCGACAGGACTTTACTACAATGTCATGTCTTTGGGTTGGTTGCCGTAGTGTTCTAACCGTTAAAAAGCCGTTTTATGGCCGAATAAAATAGAGTTTCTGAAAATCATTTACAAAAATTACATTAAAAAAAGAGATAAATGTGTAATTAGTGTATTATTCAATATTTAAACCTTCGATCAACAATAGCAACTAGATAAAGGGTCACGTACAAAGTCAAAGCTAAATGCTGTCCGCGTGAATATATACTTATGCAGCTACATTTGTTTACCAACAAACGGATGGAAAAGTTTTAAAATAGTTTTAAGTTCAACCTAATTACAACTATGGTACTCAGTAATAACACACCTGCCACACACAGCTTTGCAACACCCAAAGGTTTGACTGGAAGAAAATGCCTGAGGCATTAAGTCCGCCTTATGCAATATGTTTGCAGGAAGACTCAATAAATAAATAAATAAATAATAAAGTCACAAATCTTCAAAATATTATCTAATACTTACGATCATTCCTTGCAAAAAAACGAGCAAAGGAATAAATTACTCCTATCACTTTCAAACGAAAAGACATAACTTAAATAACATTTAGTGTAAAATCAACCTTATTGAACAACAAATAGAGTACTTTTTCTCGTTATTGCCTTGAGAGCTACATCGTTTTGTTTTGTTTATTTTTGCTTCTTCGAGTTCTACTACAGAAGGTATGGAGTCGCGTTGAACACTAAAATAATTTATAATATTAACGTAAAATATTAGTTGCTTACTTTTTATGTTTCGGACATCTATGTATGTTTGTTAGTATCTTTACATTACTTATTATTTTATTAACGTTACGTTTTTGTGTAATATGTATGTGTAAATACACATACATATTACACAAAAACGTAACGTTTTACTTTATTTACTATTTATTTACTTTATCACATATAATGTGGTATTTACAAAAGCCATTTAGACGGATACAGTATTAATCGTTATCAAAATAAATACGTTAGTTATCTTAAGCATTTCATACACATTATAATTACCCTTTACACCATACAATTTAAATGAATATGTTAGGAGATATCTTAAATTAAAAACTACGCGCGTGTGAATAAATTCGCGTATAAAACTCATCCAAACCAACAAGCTAATGCAAAAAATTTAGGCATTTAATGCTTTAAGCGACCCGCCCTGACACCAAAAGCAGGACCCGCACAGATATACTAAATAAAATATCTCTAAATTCCACATCTTTTTAGGACACATACTACTAAGTACTTATGTATGTATATTTGCTGGTATGTATAAGTATTTGTTTTTATGAATATAAATATGTATATGTATTTATATATATTTGCGAATGTGTATATTTATTATAATATAGTATATATATGTAGTTATTATCCCTTTTATATTCGTTAGTATTAACCTGAAAAACTCATTTTACCATCAATTACTACTATCTTTCCCGAACATTTTGATCCATCCTAAGATTGCCTGGAAGATTGTAGAAGACATTGTATATTGACTTCTTGTAAAATGGTGTACACATAAAGAGTTCTATCTATCTATATATCTACTGCTAAAAAAAAGACTCACTTGCACTTCAATGTCAGATACTAATAGTTTAGTATTGGGTGCTGCCAATTGTGAGTCGTTCGGCGGGGATTGAATCTGTGTTTTTGAAAAGACTCTTTAATAATAGATAAACATGAATTCCCACCCATTCCCATCTCATTGATCACGTCACAAAAACTTAAGCAGACAAGAAAAACAGATATAAAATTACATTTCGATTGTGAATTACTAATGAATGTATCTGTAATTTAGGAACTGCTGTTTGGTGTTTGTTTGGTTAACCAATCGACGTCGGTTATTATTTTCGGATATATCTAACTTATGAAAGTGATCCGAGCATATCACCGAATTCTTAGCTGGCTTATAAAAGTCATCTCTTCTTTCTCTGGCGACAATCGAGATCCACTCTGCACACGTAAACGGATTGCTAGGAAAGCTAAAATAAAAAAGGAAAGCTAAGTATCTAATGAGAGTCCAACAAACAGACACAAAAGTAGCTTTAACTAATTTTAACCAACCAATTTTGAAGTTCTGTTAAGTTTTTTTTTTAATTATTACACCATAAATCGACTCCATGCATCTACTGTTCTGTTAAACAAAAGTTTGTGCGTGTGTTGGCGAGCCTTGGCCAAACATATGTAGCGCTGCTTTAAAATCGGTAATTTTGTTCAAAATTTGATATTATTTATTAGTTTAAAGCTTTAAATACAACTTATTCTTCATGTACTTACCGAAAGTAAGAAACTATGGCCGTAAAATTTAGTTTTCGTCAATTATTTTTGCAACTTTTGAATACACACTGCGGCACTATGAGACGTGTTTACATTGGCTGTGTTTTAAGCGAACCAAACAAAATAAGAGCTCACGTCTCAAGTGCGCTCTTATTTATCGAGACGTATTTTTTGCGCCGACCCGATATCTAGTTGCTATTGTTGATCGAAGATTTAAACATATAAAAACAAATTCTGATCACATAGTTTTAGCTTTATTTTGATATATAATATGAATATTTTGATATTATACTAAATGATTTGGTTAAAAAACCCGGAGTGGACTCCGGGTTTTTTTACCAAATCATTTCATCATGATATTGAAAAAAATAATTCATCCTTATTTTTCTGTCTCATTTTGCAACAGTCACATTTGACAACAGTCCTTAAAAGTCAGTCTATAAAAGAATCATCAAAGCCGTACATAATTTGTTTCCTTTCTCTATGTACCTATAGAATGGTTTGTCTATGACCAAGCGGCACGTGATCCATGCGCGTACCGTGCACTGCGCAGTCTTTCGTTCGACATCTTGTGAAGTTGACTATCACGTTGACCTTGGCTCTTCTATTCCGGACATTGATTAGACATAGCGATTTGGACTCGATTTTTGTGTTTGTTGTTATATTGTACAAACTCTGTTTCAACATGTCGAAAAGGGGACGTACAATCAACAGCCAATCACGCGAATTGGTTGTTAAGTTAACCGAATACTTCGAACGCGAATCAGTTAATGGTGGACCATTATTACCCGTAACTCAAGTGCAAGATCCCGTAGCAGAAGCACTTGGAATCGGCAAAAAACTATTCGAACCATTTTGAAGGAAAAGCATGGGTCTTCCGGTAGGAAAAGTACGCCTAAGAAGAGGACGAAAAGCAAGCCTGTAACAGGTATTGAGACATTTGACGCAGATGCTATTCGAAACCACGTATATGCTTATTACACGAGAAGTGAGTACCCAACTGTAAGTAAGTTGGTGGTATCACTAAGAGAGGCTGGCCTGTTTAGTGGCAGTGCAACATCTTTAATAACAATTATGAAGCAAATTGGTTTCAAATACAAAAAACCGACAGGAGGAAAATTATGATGGAACGATATGATATAATTTTGCACAGAGTATCATTCTTGATGCAAATGAACAAAATTACAAATTGGGACAGTGTCATATTTATCGATGAAACTTGGCTGAACTCGAATCATACCGTGCCACAGTCATGGACGGATGATACCAAGGCCTCTTGTTCAAAAGTGCCAATGGGTAAGGGTGGACGCCTAATAATCTGCACATGCCATGATCAGCCGGGGGAGGTTTTGTGCATGATGCTTTACTCGCATTCGAGTCCAGAAGTACAAAAGAATACCACGAAGAAATGGATGCAAATAAATTCTTAGAGTGGTTTACTAAGTTAATAAACCTCCCCGAACAGTTCACAATAATTATGGATAATGCACCTTACCATTCAGTTCAAATAGATAAGGCACCTACTCAAGCAAGCAAAAAGGCAGATTTAGTGGCGTGGTTACAAAGAAAAGGCGTAGAAGCTGACATGAATTTATTGAAAGCTGAACTGCTGGAATTAGTAAAACAAAATAAACCTGCAAAATTAAGATATAAAATCGATGAATTGGCACTTCAACATGGTCACAAATTGATAGGAACGCCGCCGTATCATTATCAGTACAATGCGCAGCACGTCATAATACAAAGCCACCATTCTCCACTAAGAATATGATGACATTGTTAAAAGAAGCTTATGTTAAAATAACTAAAGAAGATTGGGCAAAAGTGGTAGAAAAAACGCGAAAAATAATAAAGGAAGATTATGATAGAGACTTCAATATTGATAATACTTATTATAGAAAATGAAATAATTATATACACAGGCGACGATAGCTCATCTGGCTCGTCATCAGAAGAAAATGATTGATTACACTTTTCTTGATTTTGTTGTGATTGAGCTAAATTTTTAAATTAAAGACAAATTGACATTTCTTTCCATTGTATCATTTCAAATTGCCTATAACATTAAAGTTTAAGTTATATGTTCTAACTTAAATCCAATGCACTTTGTGATATATAGTCAAATCAATCAAATACTCTACAAGCTTGAATCGATTTGTTCTAAGTATCGTGCACCGAGTCGTATAGTTAATCACTAGTTACGCCACCATGACAAATGGCAATGTCTTATTTTGTGACGACTGTAGTCACAATACAAAGTCTTGCCTATAAAAATCCTTTTATACTAACGTCGACATAAACTGTACTTTCATTCATATAAATGGTAGGGTTACATCACTAACTGGCGATTGATGCCTGCAGCCCTAATATAAACATACACAATGAACAACGAAATCTAATACTTTACATTACATTGCTTGGCAAGTTTGTCAACATCGCGTGCAATGAGAACAAAAGCAGCATTAGTAATCGTACAAAACGGAAATTAATATACGAATGTTTACAAAGACAGATGCCTATCTTATTAAAGTATTCATCGAGATTTAAATTAGTAAAAAAATGATTTATTATATACAAATCCCTGAACACCCCATTATGCTGCAGTTCACCATTTTAACAATATAATTTTACATATTATGACGCTCCGCGCAACTAAATCACGAATGGTGTGATATTCTATAAGTAGTTCGTCTACATCATTGCGGCGACAAGGTCAAGCGTATGCGACTTCTAGTGTCTTATTATGAATATAACAAACGAAAAAAATACTCGCTCGTAGTTCAACTACGTTCGAACTGGATCCGTCGTGCGTTTAAAACACGCTACGGTATCCATCGGTATCCCATTTTTACATAAAAGAACTAGAGTAGATATCGTTTATATTGTTATTACCACAGAGGAGCGCGCGGCGCGCGCGGCGGCGTGGCGCGGTGCGGCGGCGCGCCACGTGCGCATTGCGGCGGCGCAGCTGGCGCGCGGCGCGTGCGTGCGCGCGCGGCTGCTACTGCGCCCGCGCGCCGGAGCCGCCGACCTACGCCTGCTGGCCTACCACGCCACGGGCCAAAGCGCCCGTCCCTACCGATTGCTGCGTCACGTGTTCCGCTTCCGTCTCACTGTAAGTGCTTTTCACACATTTTACACGTAATTCATGAACGCTGAAGTATTTTGTTAAAATATGTTTTTAACGCTCCGTTTCGGTAGTGTGTCGAATCGGAACACGAATTTTTTTTATGGAAGAGAGGCCAGACGATCAGACGGGTCGCCTGATCGAAAGTGACTACCGCCGCCCATATACCTGCAACTCGGGAGTCACAAACGCGTTGCCGGCCTTTTAGGAAGGAGTACGCTCTTTTCTTGAAGGTATTATCGATCCGGAAATACCACAGACGATAACTTTTTCACATATGGGTTGCATTGCTTTATCCATAAAGTAATACTAGAGAGAACTGGATGTAATTTCGCTTTTGCTTCTTATTTTTTTATTTACTTAATTCTTTATGCACATATGTGACATAGCCGGACTCAATGCCGTAGGTATGTATGCAGTCGACCTTAGGGCGATGCAGAGCTAAAACGTGTCTGATAATAATGAAGTCTATGTCGTACTGTGCATGGAAACAACACCAACATAAAACAACAATAATGGTGCAAACAACATCTGAGGACCCATTAAAAATCAACTGTACTACCCGATCTGGGCCAAGTGCACAGTAACGAAAAGTACAGTACATAAGTAATAAGCGCCCAATGTGTAACCATAGGTTCGCCGTGAGAATAGCATTTTTAATCAACTCTTTTACCTCAGGAAGCGGTTGAGCTGGCGGTGACTCCTAGTCGTAGTCTCGGACAAAACCAGGAAAACTTCGTGGAAACTATGAATTTGTCGGTGGAGGTGAAAAATATCTTTAGTGAAAAGAGCGAGGAAATCGTAGTCGAAGTGCTAGAGGCTTCTCTTCTAAGTCGGCAGTGGACCCTTGTGGGTCTAGTGGCAGCGCGTGGTGCTTCAGAACCACTCACCTCGCGCGAGAAACTTCACTTCGTTCTTCGAGCTAGACGTATACGTTCATCACTGCCGGAGGAAAAAGTTGAAAGATCATGTGTCAAAATTGCTGACGGTCATCCCGATGCGATTGCCGATATCAATGTCCCACCATATTCCAACTTCGTGATGGATAGTCAGCCCTCCATTATTGAATCGCCTGAAACGCCTATGTTAAAGGATACTACTACGCGCGTAGGCTTGATACAGTCGATGTTTGTTCTGCGATGGAAAGTACTAGAGAAAAATAAAGGGCACTCTGCAATTGGGCAACACTGTCTGTGGTTGGATTGTTTTACGAAAGCCGTTTCTCGTGAAAAAGAAATTGTACCAGTAGACGCGACTTCTTTACAGCTGGACGACTATGATAGCAAATTAAATTTACAGGAAATGAATAACAAAAGCAAAAAAGATGATGTTGTTATATTTAGATTGGAGCACTCCAACCACATCAATCACAATTTTGAGGAAATGAAAATATGTTTAATTCCAATCACTTTAAATATTGTTAACTGCTATGGAATTCCTGTAAAAGTATTTATAGACATGTCAAAGCAAAAGAGTAGGTAAGTTGTTTATAATTTTATAAAAAAAATGTATATCTGATCTTCATACACATACAACTAATAGCGTCTGTAAGCGTCTTTTTAAGCTTCAATACAATTTTGTAAAATGTATTTTATGATTACGTTTATTTCAGTACATAGTTAACGTATAAAATGATATAATAAGTGGCGCTAGCGTAATGACTAAGGCCTCAGACTTGCGATCACCTGTATTGGATACTGGTGTAGAAATAATTTAGTGATCTAATACAGTATGTTTCTACCTTTGAATAGTTAGAGCAGTGATTTTCGGGAACCAATCAATATACAGTAAAAAGAAATGTTTGTCATCTGTTACAGAGAAATGTCTGGCGAATTGGGATGGGCTGGAGCCCTCAGTTACGGATCCGACGTTGAACCCAAAGAATTAGGTGTCAGTGTAAAACTCGACAAGTTTGAATCTAAACGGGTACAAGTACGAGGTATATGTGCTGCGCCCGGAACGTACCTTGTAGGTTCCGCCTTTTCTGTATCTACTACCGGTGAAGGTGCCAATGTTAATGTCTCTAATGTTTCTAATAATACTTCTTTGTTAATAGTACAACAAGCTGCATAGAAATCTGTTACAAAATATTAATTTGTTTAGTTAAGCATGAATCAGAAAGTATAAATTATAAAGTTTTTAAGCTTATAAAGCTATAGTGGCAATATCGCAATGATTTATAGTGTGTAAAATATTTTATTAACTTTGTATTCTTAGTGTATAATATTCTTCATACATTCGTCCCGTGTGTCATTATTTGACTTCTACAATATTTAATATAAAGGTTTAGAGAAAATATTAAATGGAATGGAAAATGACAATAGGACCACTGACCTCTAATATACAAGCACGCTGGACTGAGTATGTCATTATTAAACTGAATTAGTGGAATTTCTACGTTATATTTACACTTATGAGTCACTAGCTGCCCGGCCCGGCATCGCACGGTTAGTGTACCCATTTAAAAAAAAATAAGACGTTTGGTGCAATCGTTCTGAACAGTACATATATTACGGCGATTCATTTTTATTTATATGTATAGAAAGATAGATTAGGTAGGCATAATACATTCGTGTCTGTGAAACCATGGAAATACACATTAGTTATGTAGTTGACATACCGACAGCAGCGCCATTTACCGGGTCCAATTGTATTTTTAAATCATCCAGGAAACCATTGAAATACCTATAAAAAATTTCAACCCAATCGGTTCAGCCGTTTAGAAGTTATGTGAAAAAGATAAGTACGAAAGGATCATTCTTACTACCCGTTGTCCTATTGCCCATTTTCCCGTAGGAATGAAGCATTTTCCCGCCGTAAAAAGTAGCCTATGTTCATCGGGGATAATGTTGGATTCTAATGGTAAAAGATTTTTTCCAATCAGTCCAGTTGTTTTGGAGCCTATTCAATACAAACAAACAAATAATCAAATCATTCCTCTTTATAATATTAGTGTAGATAAAAATAAATTCACCTAGCTATTCATACTTTATTAGCAGTTAAGAAATCGATCGAGGCTAGTCAATTGACATGATAGGCATCTTTCATTTTAGGTACTGTGCTCATAACCGACATTATCCATATAGAATAATCGCATCCCTGTTCAGTGATTGTTTATTTGCAGCAAATGTCAATATTAGTACCCTTAACCTTGTGAGGGGCACTTCAAACGGCACAAAAACAACTTATAAAGACTATTTAGTCCAGCTTACTTGTACAATAAAGATCAGTGACAAAAACAATTTGAGTGGCACTTATCGTTGAAACTACAGTGTGAAACTTTATGTCTAAATCCTAGTAATTTATAATCACTACTTCACTGTTCCTGATCGACTATAGTTGAGGATTGAAGTGAATTAGACAGACCCACCATCAAGACCGACTGCATCTACAAGTTCACGCTCTAAAAAATTATGATTCTTAGTTATTTTTTAAATATGCTTGTTTGTCAACTTGTTCTTTATAAAAAAAAAGAATATGTCACCACTACTAATAAAAAAATAAAATATAAATTACTTCCTTTAGAGTTTTTTCCTGACTAAATTTCATATGTGTACTCTATGGCATACGTGAATTACCTACATGCACATTCTGTCAAATAAGTAAATGATATCCAACTAGGAATTATAATTACAACATTCGAAAAGTTTTCTGTTAACATTTTATTTAAAGGCTCATGTGCAATAAATAATTTAAGCTAATAAAATCAATTATGGAATGCATGTAAGCACATAACTTGAGAACACTGCACTGATGGCGTAGTGGTTTAAGCGGTCGCCACGCCGCTTATTACTACGCTGAGTGTTGTGGGTTCGATCCCCACATGGGACGACACTTTGTGTGATCCACAAATGGTTGTTCCGAGTCTGGGTGTCCTTGTGACCGTTTCATGTATGTTTGTAAAGTCCCCCGCGACACAGGATTTATTCCTAGTGCGGGAGTTGTCTTTTTTCATAGAAGAAAGAAGAAGAAGAAAAGAACAACTGCACATATTGCTGCATACAAGCAATTTGATCCCAAACTAGGCATAGTCTGTACTATGGTAACGAGACTGCTGATATACACTTCTAAATACATACAATAGAATATACCTATTATAGATAAACTATACTCAGACAGAACAAATGACATGTACATAACACAATTATTTGCCCTGGGTGGGAATCGGACCCACGATATCTGGATTAGCAGTCAGGTTCACTACCCGCTAGACATTCATTTTCGTCTTGCCAGATAGCTAATGGCAGTTATTATCATATAAATCAAAGGCGTTATGTGTTTAGATTTCCCGATACCAAGGGACCTTTGCAGTCACTCTTTCAAACAGTGTGTTTAGCTGGTCAAGCAACACTATGGGCCGGTAGGCGGGTGTTGGACCGACCTTTCAGCTGGGTACCAGTTTTCCCGTCTTCTAGAACTTTGGAAACATGCGCTGAAGAGCCCTCTCAGTCGGGGCTTGAAAGACTCGTCATTCGTTCTTGCCGTGAGGGGTCCGAGGGGATTGCCGGACGAAACCTCCAGATATTTGAAGCCGTCAACGTTGTGACGAAAAGCTGAACACGCTAGGTAATAATATATACAAACCAGCTAATTTGATGATCCGGTGAAATAAATGAGACCGAGGAAACTTGGAAGCAAACAGGTCGGTGTTAATATCACCCATAATCATATGATGTGTATACTCAGTATAACTCAGATGCCTAAAGATTCCAGAAATGATTCGAGACGTAGTCAACGGTAGGAGGACAATAAACAATCCCTACCACTGCTTTTGTTACCTTGAAGAAATGCTGCAACATCGGGAGTATAGCTCGAGCAGTGCTGATTGAGAGAGAAGATGTTTAGACTGTATGAAAAAGAGATTGGAATATAAATGGCAGTAAGCCCGCCTCTCTTATCGGTTCTGTCGTTACGTATAGGAATAACACGAGGGGGGGAGTATGCTCAGAGTTAATGAGGTTTGATCCAGATCCTGAATTCAGAATAGCATTCTGCAAACTACGCTGCAACAAAGTAGGAAAGGTGAATTATGTTGTTTACTTGAGGTCAAGTTACCAACTTCCTCGATGCATCTGTCACGTCGTCTGTCGCTTTAGGTAGTAGGTACTCCAAAATAATAAAAAGTATTGTTTAATAAAAAATATGGCAAATTCATTGAATATTGTTATATTTGTAATTTGTGAATATTGTTGCAGTTAATAACGGTTCATTATCCGACTGCATCCTAAAAATATAGTACAGCATTTGTAGATTTTTAAGTCATTTAATGCAAACATATAAAATATTTATATAATCCAACTAATGCTATGAAGTACAACGATTAATTTCTACTAATGCATATTTGTATTGTTATAAACATTTAACATTAAAATATATTCAGGAACCGCTCACTTTTGTTTGAATAATGTAAAGTTTATCATTTGTATGATTTTAGGTGATTATAATTTCAGTATTTAAGATTTTATTTGTTTTTAAAATAAAGAGGTTGTTAAAAGCAGTAATTAGTTAATAAATTATGTTTACTCGCATTTTATGTTTTTCTGTATATCGACGTCCCCCGCGAATAATCCGGTAATGACCTATTACGGGGTTTTTCATGTTATGCGTTTTTCGGCATCTAGAAGTTAAAATACACCATGTAAATTTTTTTCAGAATTTTTCTATCTTTATTTACGAAGATATGAAAAACTACGCGTATATTCCATAAAAATTCATTAAAATGTATTTTAAACGAATAATATGGTTTTAGATCTTTACGAAAAAAAATATCAATATGATTTGACAGTAAAACTACTTTACGATATTATTCAGGTAAATAGTTTTCTACCTTATTTATGAAACATTTTATTGTTATGACTATTACTGTTTATTCGAATAGTTTACTTAAGTATTATTTGATGATTATTATAGTATATTTTATGAAATAAAGGACATTCTAGTAAATGAAACAACTTTGGTTAGTTTGACAAAACACGATAGTTATTATTATCATAAAAATAGACACTGCACTGAAGACACGACTATTACACATGATTACACAATCATGAAAATTATAATAAGGTCCTATTAACGTTAAAAATCTTAATCAGAATCCTCATCGTGACCTGATTCAGTATCACAAAAGCTTAAATTCCTATAAAACGGTTGATAATGGTTGGGAATTGCTTGGGAGTTACACAGGCTTATTTTGAATGTACCACAGTCTGAAGTGTCAATTTTCCACTACAAACGTAAATACCCGATTTATAATTTTACAGTTTTTGACGCTCTAAACAAACTAGGGTTCTGTTACGTTTGGCAAGCTCAAATTGGATAAAAAGGGTGCATCGAAATAGGGAGTTGCTTGTTTCAATTTGTCAAGATCGTACACTAAAAATGTATCCGCAAAATTATATTTTACTCTGATGGTTGTTATGGCCAGAAAAAAAACAGATACATTTTTGCGTTGTATCTTTACATTGCAATGCCTCTTTAAATTGAAATTACCCATCGGTTTTTTGTTGGTGGGCATAGCCAAAATGAAGGCGACTCAATGCACGCAGGTATTGAAAGAGCTCTGAAAAACAAAGTTTTGTACACAAGTATATAGTATATAGTACCATAATGAACGCTAAAGTCTCCGCAGACAAATATATCCTAAAAGAAATGCAACAATCTGAAATCCTCAACATTAGAGAACTTGTTGAACCCAAAAGATGGCTTCAAGATAAAACAGGAGAAAAAGTACGATGGTCCGATGTGATGGAGGTTAGTGTGTCATACAGTAAACCTAACTGTTTTCTTTTCAAATATGATTTTGATCAGGATTATATTGAATTGGATTACGATGCAGGCAGAAGTAGACAGCGACGGCAGAGACAGGTGTCCAAAACAATTGAAAGTATTGAATTAAAGCCAGCATATGACAAGCCACTCCCTATTCAAAAAGCTTTGCATAATGATCTCCTAAGCCTGTGTAACTCCCAAGCAATTCCCCACCATTATCAACCATTTTACAGGAATTTAAGCTTTTGTGATACTGAATCAGGTCAGGATGAGGATTCTGATTAAGATTTTTAACTGTAATAGGACCT